TAGGCCCTGACGCAGTTGCCGAGCGAGCATAGGAAAACTGGGACCATTGAAATCTCTTTGGCAAGATCAAAGCGAATCGAAAATTCGTTTGATGGAAATGTGGCACAGGGCTACAGATATGTACGAAATACCCTGTAAGCTGGTTGCCAATGGACAAAACATGTTGAGCAACTAGAAGAGCTGAGTAGATTGAAAAATTATGAGCGACGAGCACTTTGGAATTAGAAACAGATGAGGCATTGAATTGGGCAACTATATAGGGTACCCTGTAAGTAGTTAGAGTGAGATTCGATAGAAGATGTTGGGTATAAACAGAGTGAGCATAAGTTAACTGTCTTAAGATTTAGGTACAGCCAATGGGCAGACTTTGGAAACTTATAAAAATACGCTCTAAAGATCATAAAAGAGGATGTCAATAAAATTGGAAAAATGATAATAAATAATAATAATAAATTGTAGGGTAGCAGTTTTATAGGGTAGCAGTTTTCTAGCAGTTGCTTAAAAGCTTGCTCAAAGAAGTACTTAGTATCTGAACGGGTACACCCAGCATACCCTATCAGACTTCAGTCAGTGCTCGTTCACTCGCTGCCAGCATCAATTACTCGAACAGATAAAACAAATTGCCGGCCATATAATGCTCGAGATGCAGAGACAAATTAGCAACTCGCCTGGCATGCGCTGGCAGCGCGATCAATCCTGAGGTGCAAGAGGCGGCGATAATCAAACGCTAATTGCAGTTGCAACGGGCACACGAAATAATTTGTCAGCATTTGCAGTGGATGGAGAGGACGAGCTTCATTCATGAAAGTGCTGCATCTGGCGGCTTTTCTGGTTAATAAATGGTGGCCAAGAGCTGGCAGAGAGCCAGCAGCGGCCGATGGGTTGATGGGATGATGGCCCAGGCCCAAGAGCCGGCAGACGGGCAGACGGGCAGAGAGTTCGTTCTCAAGCGAATCACTTTACAGCGCAGTGCACAACAAAGCCCAAAAGTCGAATGTCGAATGTCGTCTATCGAAGTCAAAGCCAGCCCCTCAAAGTCCAGCCAGAGTCAGAGCCAGAGCCAGAGGCAGCGGCAGAGGCAGAGGCAGAGGCAGAGGCTAAGCTACAACAACCCCATCAAGTTCAGCCCACTAATCAATTTGCACAAAAACAAAAATAAACACGCACACAATAAAAAGCCGAGGCGCATAACGAATAATGTCGTAAATAATGCAATTTTCACATTTTATTCGAGTCTTATTTCTTTTTTTTTTTGCAATCCATTCAAATTCGATTTTCAAATCGAATAATAAATAATATCCAGACAAATAACGCGCTCAACAGTTTTTAAGTAGGCAGCGGAACAACCCATATGGTCAATTAGAGCGGCACAAAGCACAATGAGAACTTCTTCTCAAGAAGCTTTCTGCGACCGCCTCATGTACACACACACATGCACGCACACACATTGTTATTCACTTCAATTATTATCGATGCCACCGAAAAAAACCGAAAAAAAAGGGAAGAGCGCAAACCTGAACTTGAATTCACTCAAGCGTACTCAAAGTGCGCTCAAAACTTGAAAAACGTTTTCACAAAATTAAATATTTCCAAGTGCTTAGAGCTTAGAAATATGTTGTCGCTGATCGGAGTTGGCGAGAAGTTTTAGACGGGAAAGCGTAATAAATAATAATAATAATTAATAATGAATAATAAATAATTTATGCATAAAAAATATTCTATAATAGATAATTGTAAAATAAAAAAAAAATTATATATATTTTATTTATTATAAATATGTTTTTAAACATGCTAAATTGACTTCTTAATTTAATATAAATATAGTGAATCCGAAATGAATGCACTTGCACTATTTCTTCAGCTGAAAGCTAGGAAATTCATGGAAAATTTATAAGTTTTACATTGCATGTCACGCTTCTCTAGTTATTTATAATATACATATATTTATAATACACAATTAGTGCTAAGAAATAGATAATCCGAGTTGTTGTAGAATTTTATTCTTTTATTTCAGTAAATGGAAAACTTTAACCATTTCACAACTTTAAGAGTTTACTGCAAATTTCTATAACTACAATTTCACAATTATGCTTAACCTGCTTGATTCCTCGCCTAATTAGCTGTGAGCTGGTGAATCTATAATTATGAAACTGCATTATGCATTAGCTCAGTGATTCGTTAGATCTTTTGTAGCATAGAAAATTTATAGAGATGTTCTGCTCGAGCGCTTAACGTTTATATTTAACAAAGTGCAAAGAAAAACCCCTTTCAATTCAACCTTTTAGGTGTACATATACACACATATATATGTACAAAAATATATATATATATGAACTGCATAAAATTGTGCGAACAAGGCGATTTAATTTGATTGATTTCAATTTTGTGCCCACTCCAAATTGCTCTGCGAGATTCGCTGGAATAATAAAAACGCGTCACATTTGATTGCATTTCTGCTCTCAGTGTGTGCGTATGTGTGTGTGTGTGTGTGTGTGTGAAATTGGGCTGACAATGTGCGCTGACCAAATAAAATGTGAAAAAGCGAAAGCCATTCAACTGCGAACTGCCACACCGAAACGTAGACAAATGCCAATCACCCCCATTGATGCACCCCTTCTGTATGTGAGTGTGAGTGTGTGTGTGTGGGTAAACGTGTTAGGGCTGAAAAGAATTGCACTTTACGCAATTTATGTGCAAATTTCTTCAATGACTTTAAGGCCAAGCGGAGTTTGAGGCGCACTGCAACCCCCTCAAGCCCCATAACCACCAACCCCCACCCCCCGCCTTGCTGAATGCTATTATAATCGCGCGCTAATTGACTCTAATCGACTAGACCTGCAAACACACACACACACACACATAGAGGGGTTGTTATTTTATGGTATTTGAATGTTGGTTTGAGCACTCGAATGCCTCGACCTGGCCTAGATCTTAAGCCGTCTGCTCTAAAGTCTAGGCATTCAGAGCAACTTAGCCTTAGTTACGACCAAAATTACACTTAAGTACACTTCACATTCAAGTGTGTATCTGTCTCTGTGTGTGTGTCTGTGTGTGTGTGTGTGATAAGTCCGTTCATTATCACGCATGCATTGCCCACAAATTAGTCTATTTAACAGCTCGAGGCGACATTTAAATAAGCCGAAAGGACGCACGAAAGGCGACAATTTGGCAACAATTGCCAGTTGAAAGTCCCACACACACACACACACGCATGCATTATACCCTGCTTACCACACACACGCAGACACAATCACAGGCACACATGTGACACCTTTTCAAGCAGTGTGCTAATACCTGCCTAGGCACACCATAGAGAAAGAGACATGTGTGTGTGGAAAAATAATTATGCGCCTGATTTAACTCTAAATTGTTGCTAATTTGTCACAAATGGCACTGCAGTTCACACAATCAGAGTGAGAGAGAGAGAGAGAGGTGTGAAACGTGTGTATTTGTTTTTTATTCAAGTGTTTTCCACTTGAGTTTTGAGGTTATTATTCTCTGCCTGCCTGGCTGTCTGTCTGTCTCTCCGTCTGGCGGTCTGTCCTTTGAAGGACACTGGCATTGCCACAGCCACTTTGACATTCGCATTGCAGTCGAATGGAGCCGCAGTCAGCCAGAAAATCTGCTCAGCAAAATGGCCACGCTCATCGAATTATGAATTCATGTGTGTTGACAGCCAGCCCAATAAACACGCGGCTTGATTCGAGTAACGGCGAATATACCAAAATAACAGCACTGTGTGCTCGGTAAACAGTCGGTATTAGCTGACTAATAATTACTCACTTTGAATTCCTAGCTGGTATATGCACAGCACACACATACTAAGATATATTTCTATATATCTCTAGCATACCCTAACTGCTTTTAGAATTTAAGAAAATGTCTATATTAAAATCTTATAGTATCTCCTATTATAATTCAATGATACTTTCGTATATTTTGATAGGGACTTTGGTATCCTACTGATATTTTTGGTATCTTTTATGATTTAAAGACGTCATAAGATCTAAGGAAGTTTAAGCTCCTACTCCTAGTTTATATTCTGCTTAAAAAATCAGCTTATTCATATCCAAGATTTATTCGAAATCTTAAATATTTCTCGTAGACATGAAAAGTCTTGAGCAGAAGGAAATACTCAAAATCAACCCGCTTCGGGTCAGATACACATAAGTTCTATTCGATTTTAGCCAAAATGAGAAAGATTTCACAGTTTGAGCCAAATATGTAAAATTTTCACAATCGTATGCAAATCAAAAGTCTTCTTACTTTCCCCAGTTATGCCAATAAATAATATTCTCAACTCATCTTCTCTTATGGACCACACAGCCCACTGGCCACGCCCCCTGGCAAAAGCTGACGGTAAAGTGCCCCAAGCAGCTGGCTGAATTCATGGCCACAGCTGCGGAAATGGCCAAGGAAATTCGCATTTATTATAATCGTCGCCTAATCATAGGAAATGCGAAAAGTGAAAAGAAAATTGTGCTCAATTTCCAGGCTTGGCAGATCAAAAAAATATCTCTCCTTATAGATGTATAAGAAATAAAATTAATTTGGCAAAAAGACTTCAACAAAGCGACAACAGTCGCAGCTCAAACTTTGAAATTTGCGGCGCGTTTCCTGCTTCCGCAGTTAGCGTGAATGAGGGGAGGCGAAGCAGTAGAAGAAAAAGAAGAGGAAGAGCTGCTGTCTGTCTGAGAGAAGGAAAAGGACGCAGCAGCTTCAATTGTCATCAATTTCGTTTGATGTGCTTAACAATTTCATAGACACGCTGCATCCCGCTCACTCACTGTCTCCCTCTCTGTCTCTCTCTGTCTCTGTCTTCACTGTTCTGTAAGTTTTTTTTCTCCTTCGATTAGCACGCACTTAGAGCAGCTAAGAGCCCCATTGAGTTTATTAAATCGGGCGTAATAATTGGTCCAATTGCGCGTCAATCGAGTCGACCTAGAAACTCCATTCAATTCGACTCGATTCGAGTCGAGGCGGGCCCTGGCTCTGGCTCTGGCTCAAACAAATCATTTAGGCCAAACAAAATTCAAAATTCACATCTGAGCTGAGAGAATTTCCGACTTTGAGTTTAGCAAAATGCCCTTCGCCGACGATGAATGGCAGACGAATGCCAGCATTAACTACATAAGCAGCGAATTGGGCAAGTGCACAGCGATTGACTTCGATTGAATTAGATCTAAGCTAAAGCTTTACCCTTGCAGAGCGCACTCACCTGGCGCGCTCGCCGCAGCTGCTGCAGCAGCTGAACAGCCTCTCCGAGCCATGGCAGGAGCTGGGGCAGCCGGAGTCCCTTCGGCTGAAGCAGTACTACCACGACGAGGTCTAGCACGACGCGGGCCAGCATATGTATGTAGAATGAAGCTATTCAAAATCAGCGGCAAAGTCATCAGCAGCCACACCTGCCGCGTTCGCTGCGCCCACTCCTGCCGCGTCACAGCGCGCGAGCGCCTCATGTGAGAGCGGGCGGGCGGACGGACAGAAGCGGGAGAGCGAAACTAGCGAAAGACACAAATTGTGACAAAGTTTCGGAAATTTAATTAAAATCAAATACACTCAATGCCCGCCCCTCTCTCCAGCTGGGTGCAGGGTATGCCAAAAGGGGTAGCAAATTCTCAGTCAGGTGTGACTTCAAATAGTTTGTAACATGCTTACCAGGCGCGAGGCTCTCACTCTCTCTCACTCTCACTCTGTTTCTGTCTCTGTCTCGCTGTGTGTTTCACTAGTTTTCCGCGTCGTTGAGTAAACAAAATGTAAACAAAATTTAACAGCTTTCACACACACACACGCACCCACACACATCTATATAACTCTGAACTAACCCTAGCAAAAAAAAACTCGCACTCAAGCTATTGTCGCCTTTTGGATGCCCGCTCAAGCTGGTCCAGATTGAGCATTTTGGTTGCGGACATTTGAATATTGGCAGAGGCTAGAGGGTACTCGAATCTTTTGCCTGCGCCCAATGAGGGCGTGACTAAAGGAAGATAACTAGACTGCAAACTTCAGCTTCAGTCTTATTATTAAGATCTTATAAGGACTATAGGCTTGCAATTCGTAAGATATGAGCATTGGCATTAGTACTCCATAACAATACATATTAGACATATAGAGGTAAGACTTTAGAGGAGGGTGGATTTGCCAAAGAGTCGCAATGTAGTTCAGTTCACTTCAGCTCAGACGTAGATCACAAAGTTTTGGAGCTGAGGCAAACTGCTCTTATACTGGTTAACAATACGGTGTTACGTACTATATTTACTATACTATACTATACTATATATTTAATAAAGAACTCTTTTTCTTATAAATTTCACTTTATTCAAGTTTTGAGCGAGTATTCTGCAGTCGGTGCTGGCCTAACCAGCTCACATTTGTTACTTTTTTTATGAATATTATTTATGAGTCTGTGGTTGTGTTTTGAATGCCTGCCAGCAAGGTGTAACTGCACAGGCAAACACCACACACACACACACACACATATGAGTATACAGTCACACACACACACACACTCCTATCTACACCTCCTCGTTTCCACATTTGCCTTTCGTTTGGTGTTCAGCAGCTGCTCAATTTCACATCGCTCACATTTGATTAACTTAATTTAATAGTATTTTGTTGTTGTTGTTGTTGTTGTAGTTTGCTCCATATTTTGATATATTTGTTTGTTTATTTAATTTATTATCATTGTAAATGGGCATGGCTTGTTTGCTTTGCTAAGAGTAGGGAGTTCGCCTTTTTATAGCCGCCCATTCCAGCAATGCGTCTATGCAAAACGGAGCTCTACGGCGTTGCGATAGTCGTATATAAACACTATGATGGCAACACGTAGAAAGTTTCCTGTATGAGCGTGCCAAAAGCCATTCTTATAGAGCACACAATCACGAGGTGTTCACTTAATCGAGTGTGGACTGCCCTTACTCTGAAGTAAGACTATTTATGTAGAAGTTCACTTTGGATCAAGAGATCTTAAGATCAAGCTGGCTTTCTTCGATTTCTCGCTGGGATCTAAAGAGAAGAATTTGTTCCAGATGTATTCGTGAATTTAAAATTCCATTTATATGCGCAGGATCCAGGACATACGAAGAGCTTGCCTTACTGTTTCCTCATTCCTCTAATAAACAATTTCTTAAGCTCAGTTTATGTTTTAGTTTCAGCTAATAAAATAAAGTTATTAAATGTTATTTCATTGCATTTATATTCAATTTGAGATATGTCCTTTTACCACATTTCTATAAATAAAAGTCTCTTTACGGTGTATCAAATTTCGTTTATCTTCTGCGACATTAACTCTCATTACACAACACACGGCTTGATTTTATTTTGATATCCCTGCTAGATCTACGCATAGAAATCAGCCATTGTGAAAAGTATCAATATCAAAGTGAGCACAGAGCAGCAAATCCTGCAAAGGACACCGTGACAACAGAAACACAAATAAAATGTCGTCAAGAGGCCTTTGTGAGCAGCTAGGAATTGTCTGGGCGACCATTGGCTAATGAGCGGACAATTAACTGCACAATTGCACAGAGGAGTCGGAGCTGGCAGCTGAGCCAGTAGAGCCAGTAGAGCCAGTAGATGGCCAGGACATCGCCAGGATCTGGCTACTGTTACCTGGTCAGCAATGCAGATAAACAACAAATCGAGTGAAATCAGGCATGAAACCGAAACGCTCAACAAAAGGCCGAATGCGACGGCGGCTATTTCTCATACTTTAATCACAACAAGGATAACAAGGACAACAAGGATCAGACGCTCAGCTGCTGCTGCTGCTGCTGCTGCCGACTTAGCTCATTGAAGTCAGCGCTGCAAAACTTCACTTCACTTCACTTCACTCTCAAGCAGAAGGATCTCTCGCTCCTGGCGGCTCGCTTTGGTGTGACAAGAAAAAGTATCGCATTTCGTGACAACTCGAGCGACTGTCGCCCAAACTTCCTCACAGGATATATCCTGTTCAGTAATTGTTGCCAATGCGCCTTGCGGTGTGATCAGCGATCCTCAATCTGCTGCGTCATGCGATATGCCCAGATTCTCTCTCGCTCTCTCTCTCTCTGTTTGCCTCTCTTAAATTATCGTAATTATCCTTGAAGTGAAAAACAAAATGGCGCTCATTAGCAAACGCCCCCACATGCACACATACATAGACATAAGAGGCGAGCGCCGTAGACAAGCCGCATAATTATGTTGCTGACAACTTTTTGATGAATTTATAATAATTTCTTAAGTGCTGCAGGCGGCTGATGATGCTGCAGATGCTGATTCTCATTCTGATGATGCTGCTGCTGCTGCTGCTGCGGTAAACAGCACGAAACTGTAGAAAAATCTGACTTGAGCATCTGTTGAGCGGATTTAACTTGTTTAATTACCGCTGTATTCACATTTCTTGCCATCTTTGTGAGCCCAATGAAAGTTTTCTGTGCGCAGGGTATATTGGTTGCTAGAGTAAGCCAGCCAAGAGGCAGTAAAGGGCGTGGCATAGAATTTATAGATATGCCAGATCAAGTTGATGTCTCTGACTATTTGACTGTCTGTCCTCTCGAGCTTCCATTTATGCCTCTGTATAAACATAAAAAATCTCGAGAACGGCTCAAGCTAACAATTTGAAATTTGAAATAAATATTCCTGAATAATATATTAATCATGTGCTAACAACTAGTTCTCGTTATCTCAATACTCTTGCCAAATACACATAAATAAAAAGCCTTTTCCAAGTAGTATAAACCTATTTCCGTCAGCCATCAATCTCTGTCTGGGTATCTTCTAGTCGATCACTACCCGCCCTCCGTTGTGTTTTTTGCTGTCGCGCTCATTTGGCATATAAATGTGCGCAGCTCTTCAAGTGTCTCCCTTGTACAGTACGCCCCGTCTATGAGCAACTGTTGCCAGTTTTAATGCGCTCGAGCTTTCTGAGTGTCGTTCCCAAAATTGATTTTCATTTCATTGTTCGACCGCTGAAGAGGTTCATAATAAAACTGCAAGCGAAATGCCAATGTGCTTGATTATGTTTGATATACACACACCCAAACACATCCGTACACTCATACAGTCTCTCTCTCTCTCTCTCTCTCTCTCTCTCTCTCTCTCTCTCTTTCCTTTACAAGGTGAATGCAAATACACAAAGGCACTCGACACTCAATTTCATAGAGCCAAAAAAACGAAAACTCAAAAGGCCACTTGATAAATTTCATATATTTATAGCCCGCAGAGTAGCGCGCTGCATTTGCACACTGAATGAAAATCCTTGCACACACACACACACATACACTCACTCACACTCAAATACACACACTCACACACACACACAGAACCAAGGACAAAATCCTGCCGTTGCGACTTCATGCAGCTTGGCCAAACACTTGCACAAATAAAAGATCTACTTCAACTTATTGAATTTTCGTTGATAGAAACAAGATGAAAGGCCTGCGAGGCAAAGGCGACAGCTGAATACCCTAACAACAAGTGGGAACCAAGAAGATTTAAGTAAATGGGAACGTTCATGGGGTAGTTCACTTTTCATGCTGTACGAAATATATGATTTCTATAACTTTGTTTCTTATAGTTCTCTATTCAATTTTTCTCTAACTCTAAAATGTATATATATATATATTATTTATATATTTTCTATGTAATACTTCTTAGTTATATGCTATTGTAAATCTCTAGAAGATATCTCTTAACTCGTATATTAACTCGTTCTGCTACTTAATCTCTACTCTTGTTTCTATCTCTCTCAGTCTCTCTTTCTCTCTTTGTCTATCTATCTATCTATTCACCTTTCCATTTAAGACCAACTCTATATATTTGTATATCTATCTCTTTCTATATAAATATCTAACTCTCTTCCTTTCTCTCTTTCAATCTCTCTCACTCACTCTGTTTACTTATATTCCTCACATTCTCAACCTCTTTCTATTTCTCTGTTGACGACTCTTTAAATTCTCCTGCTCCTATTCATAGATCTCGTAACTTTTCTCTACCTTTCTTTAGTCTAATAATAATACTAATATTCACATTATATATCTTGACAACTTATTTATATATCTCTCTTATATATATATCTCTCTCTCTGTTTCTCTCTCTCTCTCTCTGTCTCTCTCTCTCTCTCTCTCTCTCTTGTCGTCCAGTTCCTCGTTAATTTAACGACGTTCATTTAACTGCTTAGTTCAGCTTATTACATATGCATCCATCCATTCATTCATCTACATCTCGTAAACCCACAACAACAACAACAACAACAACTCGATTGCTGGATACATTTAACTGGCAAACGGAGCACAGACACAAATATAAAGAGTTTGGGCGGCCCTGGGGCTGAGGCTGGGGCTGTCTTTTGGCTGCCACGCCCACAGAAAAAAAGGGAGAAAAAGGGGGAAGAACTGAAAAGAGGAATTTGCATATGAGTTTTATATGAAAGCTTCTTTTGACGAATGCGCGACGCTGCTTTATGAAAGGCGACTCGAGTTGCCAGTGACAAATCCGTTAAGTCGCATTCAACCCAATGATGATGATGATGATGATGCTGATGATGATGATGATGATGATGATGATGGCAACTGCTGTAGTATTTGTGCAATGAATTTGATTTTGACCTCACAGAATGTTAAGTGTAATCAAATTCAGCTGGAAGCTGGAAGCTGACGCTGAGACTCGACCTGAAAGGAGAGAAACTTGTCGCACACAATGCGACGCCCTGTGGCGCCACAGAAATTATTAAAAAGTAATTATGGCACAAATTACGAGATATCAATACGGCATTTAGCACTGCATGTGACCGAAGGGGCGAGAGCACGCAGAGAAATCTCTGGCTTAGGGGTAGCTGAGAGAGGGGTAGGTCGAGCGGGGAGGAGCTGCACTTGAAGTGCGCTGTGCAAATCCTTTAGCTCACATCCTTGTTGGCTGCTTGTTTCCGCTGCTGTCTGTGGCTCACAATGCGATTGCTGCAACGGCAGCGACTCCTGCTCCCCCTGCCCAGTGTTTCCATCTGACATAATATCAAGATTGATTCTTTTGATTGAGTCGAAGAAACAACGGGCAGCATTTCGCGTACCTCTCGGGGTTGTTACAGTCCATGGCCATTCCCGAGGATCAGCTCCATTGACTCGATCATCATCAGCAGCAGCAGCAGCAGCAGCAGAAAAGGTCGACAGCTCAGTGCATAATGGGCATTATGCTCAGAGAGCGAGCTACTACAACAATCCCATAGAATGGGCATCATTATAACTATGGAGAGCAACTACTTGAGTCTTACTTTGATCAATTGTTAATTGTTGCGCCTCGGCTTTGGGAAACAACATTGAATAAAATGAAATAAAGTCGGCAGAATAATTGAAACAAGTTAAAGTTCAATTAGTTGTTGAAAAGCAGGTATTCACGGCCTTTAGAGTATTTACTATTAGAGATTTATAGAAGTAAGACATGCTGAACAAATTGATCATAACTCATCTCATATAGAATCTACAGCAAAAATATGTATTGACTACATGGGGTAGTTGTCAAAAACTACAATAGGGATGACTAAGTGCTTAAGTCGACGTAGATCATAGCTGACGAAAACATTATAGAACTGCCACACTCTCAATCGATAACTTTTAATCGATAACAATAACTAACAAATTGCAAACGATAGAGATAGCATCTGTAAGCCATTATGATGTAATTTTTATGAAACATATTAGCCCAAGAGGTTTTATTGTACAAGAAGCTTACAATGACTATCCAAAAAGTCTAAACACTGAGATATATCCTCAGATTGTAGCGCTCACTGATTACTTATAGATGATGCCCAGACCATTGCTCCTTCATTGTATCTTGTTGCTGCTTGTTGCCAATAATCTCCACGATATCATATACATATATCCCATCTATAACGCTTAACGTTCATCTCGCTTAGTCTACAATATATATATTTTTAAATACTTTTCTTATATGTTTAAACAAATTCGTTCTTTAGTTTGATTTATTTTCGTTTTCTTTTGCTCTTAAGGTAATATTAATTTACAGTATTACTAGATATTATGACAGCAGATCTTTAATACTAAGTCTCTTATAACTAAACAATATTTGTGAAATATTCGCAGAGACAAACTGAAAGTTCATTTTGGCCATAAGACTATATACACACGATCCATATACATATATATATGTTATAATTAAGCGCTAGACTATACACGATCAATGATATATATGCATATCACTTTTAGACTATATATATACTTGATCCATCCCGTATATATATATCACTATGTCAGCTGCGGCGCCAGCTCGCCCTTCAGTCTTCGCTCTTGGTGACCACCGAGACGGGTGTGGAGGCATTGCTGCTGCCACCTGTGGCGCTGCGCGGCGACTGCGCTGCCGTCGAGGTGAGCGTCAGGTCGCCGGAGATCAGAGTCGTAGCGCCGTGGGAGAGCGGGTGCGTGGCCAGGGAGTTGGGGCTCTCGCGGGGACTGCTGTTGCTGCAGGGCGGGCTCACCTGCGCCGAGGACGACGACGAATGCAGCGACAAGTTCTGCGGATAGCCGACGGAGACTGAGGCGGAGGCAGAGGCAGAGGCAGCAGCCGCGGCGGCTGCAGCGCCAGCCCCGAAGATGCCATTCAGATTGCTCAGGCCCATGTACTGGGAGAGCAGCGTGTGGAAGTTGGGCAGCTTGTAGTGGGGCGGCATCAGCTGCTGCGGCAGCAGAGCCGGATTGAAGTGCTGGTGCAGAGCGAAATGCGGAGGCCAGAACTCGGCGGGCAGCGGGTGGCCGGGCAGGGCGTGCGGCGGCAACGGTATGCCCAAAGGAAACTCGGGCAGGCCTGGAAAGAGAGAGAGAGAGAGAGAGAGAGAGAGAGAGAGGGTTAGGTTTAGGCGTGGGCGTAAATTTTAATTATGCTGCAGACTCACCTTGGTCGGGCAGCAGATAGCCAGCCTTGTCCTGATTCATAAACTTCTCACGTTTACGCCATTTGGCGCGTCGATTCTGGAACCAGACCTGCAAGAGAGAGAACAGACAAGAGTTGCAGTTAGCAAATGCGTATGCAGCACAGTACAGTAAGGACTGAAGTTAAGGAACAAGCGAGAAAGAATAACTGAAATTAAATTATAAATCAAAATTTCATAGAGTTAACCAACGTCATATAAAGTGCCTCGATTATGTGCGACTAGTTTCACTGTACTTGCGCCTGTTCGTCCATTTGAGTCTTCACTGTGGAACGAACGTCTTCTGTAATTTCGCCTGGCCAAGCAAAAAGTTGAGCCCGAGTCTGCAGCTATGCCGAAATACAATGGCAGCCAATCGGAAGTGTGCAACGGTGATTTGACAGACAGAAAGAGAGGGGCAGAGCTAGAGAGTGCGGGCGAGAGTGGCAGAGCTACTGGCTCGTCAAACGACTCGAGCCTCTAGCCTAGTCAGCGGGTGCGAGCAGGACTTCCGCTTCGATGAGGCTAGTCCATGCATTGTCTGTGCTCCTCTTGCCCTTTGGCTTGTATTAAGAAAATTAATTGTTTGTAAATTGAAATCACTTGACAACTGTGCGCAAGTTGCTCGAAGAGTTGTGCAATTATAGACACCCTGTACTTAGCATGGCACACACACACGCACATCCATACAATGAGAGTGAGAGAGAGTGAGAGAGGGAGAGAGAGCACATCCTTGGCTGGCATAACAATGCGTGCATCGAAGCGAGTTGCAAATTAGCAACGATTTCCTTGCAATAATTGCTGCCAATTATTGTCCTCTGTGTCTGTGTGTGTGTGTGTGTGTGTGTGGGTGTGCCACGCCTACCACCCACACAGTCTCCGTCAACCCTTGTGATTTTAATTGTTGGCAGCGCAATTATAATGCGACTAAAACCACTTTTCAAGCCCAGCCAAGCAGTTGCCGAGCCGGACGAGCCGCACTGGACTGAAGTCCTTTAAGTTGAATTCACGGATATCCTGAACACATTTATCGCCCATGTGCGATCAAAATATAATACTGACAATGCACACAACTTATCTAAGGCTCTATATATGATATAATGATAATGAAGACAAATGAAAACATGGAACCCTATAAAGTTTATGGTATAATATTATACTACCTTTATGTACTATCTGTATAGCAAATATCTAACTTTTTGAATATGAGTCTTTAAAGTGTTTAGCTTAATAAGATTTTGTTACCATATACAATTAAATTCTAATACAATTAACAAACTATCCTATCTTATCTTGTATTCCATTAGTCCAACAATCCCATCAACTTGTATCAACTCATATTATGAACTCATTTACGACAAACTCTGGATCTCTTTGTTAAACTCTTCGCCAAGCAACTCGCTTGAAGCGATTATAAAAATAAATGTAAAAAAATGTAAAAAAAAAAGGAGTGTATGAAAAATTGTGATTTGTCATGGAAAATGCGCTTTAATGCAAACAGATAAAAAAGTGCTTCAATTTCAAATTGGCCAGACTGTCAGCAAATCCCAAAATAATTGACCGTTTATCAACCCCTTGGCTGAAAGAGTAAAGGATACAAAAGTAACTGATAGATACGCCACAGACAGAGAGAGAGAGAGGGGGGGAGGGGGAGGAAAACAAGCAGCTGAAAAAAGCGCTGCTAAATGTGTTACTTTTTTGAGGCATCCAAGTGCACGTCTAACGTATGCGAATCAATGACCAATTACGCTTAATCTGCCAGCCAGAGAAACATACACAAACAAGGACGGGGCACGCGGGGCACAGGACGCAGCGATAATCCCTCAGTGAGTGGCAAGCGCTTAGGTCAAGTTGTTTTACATTTTTATTCATCTCTATCTCTAGCCCTATCTATTTATATACATACATATGTGTATGTCTCTCCCTCTCTCGCTCGCTCTTTCTCTTTCTGTGTAACTGTCAACTCGAGTGCGAAGCAAGGATCACAGCAAGGATCTCGATTACATTCACATTGAATGTGTGTGTGTGTGTGTGAAGCAAAGCCACTTTCATTGTTTACCCCCTCGTCAAAGCGAAGTTAATAAAAATACCAACACCAACAACAACAACGACTTTTCTGGTACTGGCGAATTAAATCATTTGGAAAATCACAAATATCTAGTGTCCCTGAGCCACCCCTAAAAACGCTGCAACCCCCCAAGTATTTAAGTGCGTGTGTGTGTGTGTGTGAGTGTGTGTTTGCATACAAAGCGTGCACTAAAGTGTTTAAAAGACTATTTACAAATTAAGTCCTCTGATTGTTGGGCAGTTTTTGCTCTTCCCCAGCTACTCTACTCTCTGCCTGCACGCGCGATTATTTTTTTTGTAGGCCAATTAAAATGTATATATAAAGCTGCCCTGGGAACATTTATGCTGAAACTTCCAATGAAATTAGTTTTTATCAAAAAAATCCACTAAAAAATTTAACTCATGCAAAATTGTAAAGTTCTAAAAAGTTTTGTAAATTCGAACGGAGTCTGAAAAGGATTTCTTACTCAGAAATTCATAAGATATTATATCGAATACAGCCGAAGGCCCCAGCTGCCAGTGCTCAGTCTTTAGTTGGAGTTGATTTTATAATAAATAAATAAATCGAATTTCCAATTTACTTTCATTACGACTCGTGCGCTTTTTCTCCAAGTGTATTTCGTGCTGCTGTTTAAGCCGCTTTAGCTTTGTGTGCCTGACCTGCCTGCTCTAAGCCGTAAATAATTACATAATCAGCAGCTAAAATACTCAATTGCTCGGTTAAGTAGCTATCAAATAAGCACACACACACACATACATATAGAAAAGAGAGAGATATAGATAGATGTGGAGAAAGAGGGAGAGAGGCGGGGGGCATGTATGTACCTGAACGCGTGCTTCGCTTAGGTCGAGCCTCATGGCCAGATCCTCCCTTGTGAACACATCCGGATATTGTGTCTTCTCGAACGCGCGTTCCAATTGATGCAATTGAAATGTTGTAAAAGTTGTCCGAGATCTGAAAAACACATCGAAATAGAGCATTAAACAGAGGGTAAGACTGAGATGATGATGATGGCGACGATGACGATGCTGATGCAGCGGCTGATAACAATGAATTGCTTTTAGTTGCTTTTTAATGGGCCCAACAATGGGCTAATACGATTTTATCTGCTAAGCGGCTTGTTAACAAGCCTGAGTATCCTTGTTGATACCCTGTTACCGTATGCCCAGGCAGGGCATATCTGCGTGTGCAGCTTTGTGACTTCTCTTTTATTGATTTTATTCTGGGAAGAGAAGAATTCTCCATTTCATATTTAATTTCTTGCCTTTGCTGTCTCTTCTTCTACTCTTGCTTTCTACTCTGCTCCTCTTCTCGTATTTTATCTTCACTATGTTTTACCTTGTTCTTTTCATTTACTCTTCTGTATCTTCTTTCTCTTTAAACCTCCTCTATCTTTTCTCCTAGTAGCACTACGACTTAAGAGGTATCATCAACTCCAACACTCCCTTTTCGTACTACATTGTTATCGATGTCTTATCGATAGTCGATTTACCTACCTACGAACTTTCCGCGGCCTCTCCATATCGCCCAGATCGTGGCCGTTATTCAGACTCGAGGATAAATCATCATCGTTGTCCACATCCAGGCCGCTCTCCGTATTCGTGGGCGAGTCCTCACGCTTGCCGGGCAACGGTTGTTGTTGCTGTTGTTGTTGTTGCTGCTGATGTTGCTGTTGTAGCTGATGATGGTGATGTTGTTGCTGCAGTTGTTGAAGTTGTTGATGCTGCAACAAGCCATTGTTGCTACCGTTGTTGTTGTTGTTGTTGTTGCCGTTGCTGCTGTTATGCAGATGATGTATGTGATGCGCGTGAGTTATCAGCACCTCATTGGGCGTATCTGAGAGAGAGAGAGGGCGAGCGAGAGAGGGAGAGAAATTGTAATGGAAATACATTTAAGCTGAGGCTCTTCATAATCAAGAGCTAAAAATCAAAAGTTTGCCAAATTCAATTGATTTCAAGTGTTTCAAAGTTTGGCGATTCGTGTTTGACTTGCGAATAAAACTGAAAGGGCAAAGGCAACAAAAAAAAAAAAGGAAAAACGGAAATAAAAACAGACGAGTAAAGGCGAAAAGGTTAGAGCCGAAGCTGTAATACTCTAGCGGCAAAAGAGAGTGAAAGATAGAGGGAGACGGAGAGGGATATGAAGGGACTACAGATTATATTTTTAATGTGATAAACTAAGTCCAATTTGCATTAAAGAAACAGCTCTTTACTTATTATCCAGCTGATAAGCTGATATGGAAATGCATCGAAGAGTCAGGAGAGATCTATCTATAGACTGCCAAACCGATATAACATCTTGTCCATCTTAGCTGCTTTCCAGTTAAGCTTCAGCTTTATTCTCGCTATATCTTAGCTATATCCTGGCTAATTTTCACTTTAGGCCATTTATTCTGTCTTTATTCTAGACTATAATATCTCAAATCCCAGCTCAATTCAGATAAGCCTCCAGATCTATGGCTTTATTCTATGTTATGATCTGACCATCCTTCATATCAGCTAAATCTCAGAAACTTTCGCGCCATTCCGTGTTACATGTTGCCTAAGGAACTTCGAATACCCTCGCTGCTGTAGGGTATTGCAAAGCCAAAGCGAAGAAAAGGGAAATACAAATAAAGTTACGTTTTTCGGCAGCTGCGAAAAAGCAAAATGCATTGAATTGTAAGTGAAGTAGTAATATCCTGATATATCCTGGCTGATTGAAAGCCCAGTCCCGCTCGGCCCAACCCCTTTCTGGCAACGTTTAAAGCTTTTTCAAGTGTGCGCACTCTCCACACACATAGACTATGGGGTATATATATTATGTATATTTGATTTGGCAATCAATAATAAATAATTATGAAAAATTTAACTTGAGCAGAAAAGGATTTTCGGGCTTGGCTACAATTGCAACCCTTTTGTGTGATCCTTGCCAGGTCCTTTCACACGCCCAGCGCCGGCTGGCTGAGCTGGTTTCTTTTTCTCGCTCCAGCCTCATATGTAATCAAATTTTAATGAACCTCAAATTAAGGATGCGAATGTCCTTGCCGGCACAGCAGGGCGCCAGCATCGAGCAGCTCGCAACATTTTCGGCCGCTTGTTGTGGCGAAAAAGGTAATTTGCTAAAAGGCATCAAATTACGCAGCACTCGCTGGAGCTAGCAGGATACGCGATTGAGCGTGGCAGGATATGTCCTGCGGTGCGCACGTTGTCACAAATTGTTACCTTGTTGACAAATACTCTGGGTGCAGCGCTGCGACTCCTACTCCACCAGCTGCCGCTGCCGCTGCCGCTGCCGCTGCTGCTGCCCGATCCTGATCTCAATCTAATTACGGTTCTAATGATGGCCCAGCGTCTCATTATGTCGCCCAACTGGCAGCATATCAATGTCGTGATATGTTTTGATTGCGATTCATTTCGGCTTCGCCTTCAACGATTCTTTCTCATTTTTTCGGCTCGTCCTGGCTGCGCGCTCACTCAGCATGCCGTCGGCCACGCCCACTACACGGTGTCCATACAATCGACCCATCCCCGTCCCAGTTCCCGTCTCTTTTTGCGTGTGAAACATGGCCAAGCTTTATGTAGTTAAGCCCCAACAACCCCAAACACAAAGGGGAAGCAGAAGCAGCAGAAGAGGAAGAGGCAGAAGCGAGAAAAAAACAAACTATGGTCATGTCCTGCTCCTCATTTGCATATGATGTGAATGGATTGGATGTCCTTTGATGTGGTTTAAGCCGGAGCATCAACACATTGAAGCCCCAGCAGGTAACGATGCGCGCTTGGGGCAGGCTCTGTCAAAAGGGGGGGCTTACTGTACAATTTTTTGAAAAGCATAAGCTAACCGAAACTATTGGGTATCTTTACAATTTTTAAGAAAAACGTTCAACAAATATTCGAACTTTTTTCCATTTTTTTTTAGATTTTATATTATTTTATACATTTGAGTTAAATTGGAGCGACATGATCTACAGATCTATGTGCACAAATCTATATCTATATAAATATATGCATATATCCCAAGTATATTCAAGATATAGCACACATTTGGTATATGAAATTATTTAAAGAACCAACAATATAATCAGCTCAGAGCGTAGATTTATATAGAATATATAACTATGATAAAAACTAAGTCTAAATGAGGGAGAAATTTGTCTGAATTCATAACATATTTGAACATTTCAGATATAGCAAATGAGTTTAAAGAACTTTGACAAAATCATAAGCGATACATGTGAAATATGACCATAGAAAATAGTATTACATGCCGGAAACTTTCTTTTCTACTTCATTAGGGCCCAAAAACTGAGCCAACAAAGTTACTGAAGACTGCAATGTTAGTGAAATATGAAACTATTTATAGAGATATTCGTTTATACACTGTTTAAACAAATTAATTGAAATAATCATTGAATGATATAGCCAAACTTCAAGCAAAACTTAGCTTATAGATATTATGGCCAAGTCACAGCTATAATCTGGCAAATGATTGCGTATATCTCAGCATGTATTCAATAATATGCTGTTGGATTTATAATATATATATATATTCGTATAGTTGGTTAATCTAGAAAATAACTTGTTGAATTGCACCGGCTGAGATCAGCGACGGCAAAATCAACTCAATGTAGTTATGGGTGCTTCAGTACTTGGCTCAACAATATTGATATTGATGATTGTTAACTATCATATAATCTATGTATATCTCTATCTAACCCACTCATAAATAAACTGTAATCATATACAATCATTATCTTGAGCACTCACCACTTCGCTTCGTTTGATGCTGATTGCCCAGTATCTGATCGATGCTGTAGACGGCGCGTGGTCGCGAAACGGGGCTCTCCTGTACAGGTCGCATGGCTGGTGGCATGATGTTCGAGTGCTGTGCCGATGTTGTTGTTGTCATCATCTCAAAGGGCAGGCTTTCAAGCATTAATTGACGTACAGCTCTAGCAGCAGCAGCTGGCAACGTGCCTGACCCGGCGCACTAAACTCGGAATTGCACTCGAATTGCGTTTATTTGTTGAATTTTAATTTATAATTAATTCTCTTGTTTATTGCAATTTCTTGTTGGTTTTTTATTCGCTTTTGTTCACAATTTTTGATTGTTAAAGTGAAAAACGCGCACGCACTCAAGAATGTTATTAACCAAAAACTTCGATTGGGTTTTGGGTACGTTTCTGTAGTTGTTGTTGGTTCGCTCAGCTGGACAAAGACACGTACGCTGGCAGCGATCAACAACCACCGACTGAGCTCGGCGAACGCTCAGTCAAGCCATTAAATACGCCAGAGAGGCGTTTATTCTAGTAATTCTTGTTGTTGCTGTTGCTGCTGTTGTTGTTGTTAGCAAGTGAAATGGGCTGCGCCTTGGCGGTGTCCGTTATCCTGCGCTGTCGCGCTATCTCGCTTGCGCACAGGGTGAGTTTCGCACGCACGCACTTACTCGCAAGGGGCGGCTCTCTCTCGCTCAGCCCGCGCTCACGCTCTCATTGCGAGCTATCTCCATCCCGCTCTGGCTGCCTCACTCTCCCGCTTGGGCAGTTTATTTGCCATTTAGCTGTGCAACTATGTTTGCTGATTAAATTTTATTTATTTCATAAATTTCACTCATTAATATGAAGCTCTGCTAGTTAGTCACTCGACACGCACGCACACACACACACACACACACACGCATGTACATGAGCACACGCTCTGTCTATCTGCCTCTCCCTTGCTCTCACTCACTCCGACATTCGCGACCGGTCAACAAATCACAAGCAAGTTTAGTTTCTACCTGCAGCTGGGCGAAAATCGGCCATTTATGATTTCCGCTTTTTTATGAACCTTCTTCGGCAAATCGCGCACCTTGTCGCCGCATCGTTTATGATCTCTGCCCGGGGATTGAGCATCGTTTCATTGAACAATCCAAATGCTCAATGAAGAAATCCCTTTGCTTAGCCAACGTCTTAAATGGGAAGCGATTGAGGAAGGGTTTCATTCAGCATAAACAGATCTGCAGGCAAATGAGGTACAGCACTGGCTGATCTATAAAATAGATAAGTTTTGAGGAACAAATCTGCAATATTTTAAAAATATTTTCTTAACATAATTATTTTAATAATTTTAAAATAGTCAAATATTACAAATAAAATAAAATAAAATAAATTTCTCATAATAATTATCATTTCAATACAATTTAATACATTTATAAGCATTTCTTGATATTAATATGTAATTTAAATATTAGTCTTACAAATAAGGAACGTCTGAATTTAGTTTTTAGAAAGTTGTATATAAATTTTAAAATACTAATAAACATGATAATCCATCTGCAAGATCTAGTTCCAAGCATAACCACTTGGATCACCCAGATCTCTGTAAGCCTTAGTTAATCTATTTCCTTAAACAATTCTGAAATTATTTTTTACACAGGCCTAAAAAAATACTAGAGCCAGCTCGCAGTCCGAGCGCATATTTTAAGCACTCTACAGCCTTGTCGCTTGCCTCGTCGCCTGGCTGGATTTGATTGAGCCTTGAGGCTTACGCATGTCGAGTGTCCTGTCCAATCGCGCTGCCGCTTATGCAATGCCCTTGGCTAGCGCAGGTTGCATAATAACAAAAGGTGGCCCGGACAATGCGAGAAGAATGCAAATCTTACACAATTTCTCTATTCTCCTTTTGTGAGCTGTGGCCAAAACAAAGCCAAAGCCAAAGCCAAAGCCAAAAACCGTGCACAATGCGCCGCAATGCGCGTAGTTTTCGCTGGAAGCAATGAACAAGTATCAAAACTCATTAAGGTGCCAGATGTGTGACGCCACACACACACACACACACAGAGACGATCCGGGACCTGTCGGGAGACGCTATGTCGCTTAGTCCTGCCCGATTAGCATTGCGCCTAATCATATTTTCATAGGACACTTTGCAGATTTCATTCAGCAATCCGATTGCACGTTCGTTTAATATAGAGCTAAGGACTAAGGTGCGAAGCCCAGCTATGCGCCTACCTGCCACGCATGATCCCCGATCCTTGAGCCGTGAGCCATGCCGCCTGAGCCAGCCAGCCTGATCGATTCGTGAGCCACCTCCTGCTCAGCCACTCTCTCTGCTCTCTGTTTAATTTGTGTGCTAATTGATCAGCACATACATCAAGATTTAGTTTTTTCTCGCTTTGCTTTGTACCACTTCAGCGGGCCTCTTCACTGCTGCCTCCATTTGAAAGCCATTTAGCTCAAAGTGTGAAATGACAAATTGAATCAAAGTCAAACTCAAACTCAAACTCATTGAGCAGCGCACTTCAATGTAATTTCTAAATTAGCACATCAATGTGGCGAGCCAACCCAACCGACCCGCAGTCTCTCCCGACCCTTGCATTAGGCCATTCCAGTTATCTATGCAATTTACTGCTCTCTCATTGGACATGCGCAGCTTTCGCTCATTCTGATTGGCCGCAGACACGCAGAGCTGGCAGAGCTGGCAGAGCTGGCTTTGCCTGCCCGTCGAGGTCATTATCGTGTTGTCCCACCTCCTCTCGCTCTCTCTCTGGCTGTATGCCAGCCCTCCGCCTGGCCTCCCCCCTCTGGCTTGCGTGTAAACACATTGTGGCAATTCTCTTCGGTGCGATGGCTGTGTTCACCTTTTAATAAGGTTAACTGCGACGACGACGACCCACAAAACACCCACGAGGACAATAGCTCAGCTACTCCAACTAAAGCTAAATGTGTGCGTACGTCTGTGTTCGTGTGTATGTGTGTGTGTGTGTGTGATAGCTGCTGCTGCTGCTGCTGCTGGCAACATTTTTCTTAACCATTAAATCTAATATATCAAAGTAATAAAACGAATTTTGTCTGCAAGTGTGCGTGCGTGTGTGTGTGTGCACTGGAGGGGGTGTCCTCCAGCCTTACCCAGCCCAGCACACACATAATCCAACTAAAAACTTTTCGTCTACTTAGCGTCTGCCTTGCATTGTCTGCCGGATGCTGAGCGAGAGAGAGCGAGAGCATTTTGTCTTCTTGCTGGGGGGGAGTTTTGTTCTGGGCTTGGGTTTGGGTTCTCGGTATTGGGTTTTGGGTTTATGGCTGCTTTGCGCTGGGGGTTTTCAATTTGCGACTTGCGCCCCCGAACCCTTTTGAGCTAATTGTGTGCGGGGGAGGTTAAATAACTGCTGCTGACATTTGAGGCTGAGCTTGAGTTCATAAAAGGGATTGACTTCTTAATTATAAACGCAAATAATGAAAGGTAAGTAAAATATGGGCTTAGTTAGACGTATACACATCCGCAGAGACATTTATGACGTGACATGATATGCATGAGACTGCTAATTTGATCAGGTCTCATAGATAATGATAGTTATTACTGACTTAGGATTATTTTGTAGCTAGATCTACTTAAATATAAGTATAACCGACATTTTATATACATAGCTCTTATACAACACATACAAATCCAGATTTATAATGAATGTCGTGATAGGTATAGTAAAATTTTGGAAAGATTTCAAGTGGTACTGCTAAAATAGAAATCCTTGAACAACTAGCACATATCATATAAGCATACACAAGTTTGAGGTGCTAGTTTCCAACTTTATAAGTTTTCTATATATGTATGTATATATATTAGTATGGGTTGTTTGATATAATTAGTGCTAAAGATACTTTACCTATATATATATATATATATATATATATATATATATTAGAAAAAATGTACATAAGTTTGCATTGCTTTACGAGTATTTTAAATGGGAAGTTAGGAAGAACACAAGATGAAAGAGTACTTTAGAATATGAATTTCAATATCTTGAAAGAATTCCAGTTTAAGTAAACAAATTTCGAATAAAATGCCATCAGAGTTTACATAGCAAAGCAGACTTCTTTATGCCTTGGGCACAGTTGAGATGATATAGCAACTCTATAGAATGAACTCAATTAAGGAGTTCGATAAAGTCTTCGATTGAAGCCATCTCTATGCCTTACTGCAACTCCATTTAAATTTAGTTAAGCACCCTGTATTTTGATAACCTAGCAAATTGCATATTACAAATAGTTTTCAAATGTCTATAAATTTCATATAGATGTATATATTTACATTTGTGTGCGTGTGTGTGTATGTGTATAAATGAGCAGCTCGTCTCTTGGGCTGCTTTGCTCTTTAGCTATTTGGCTGGACAGCAACCGCAGCTGGCTTTGCTCAACACACACCCACACACACACACGCACACATACACACACTCATACTTAATATCCAATATATACACCCCTGTATATATATATAAATTATTCAATATCCTTTGCTGCTTGTGGCCATAATCAAACAAGACCAGAAGCAGCAGCAGCAGCAGGAATGGGAGGGGCTGGGTGGCTGGGCCATTTGCGAGCCAAGTGAAACCAAGCGCTTGTTTGACATTTAGTTTCATAATTTAATATTCAGTCAGTGCACACAGAGACAGCGACAGCCATAGAGTGAGAGAGAGAGGGAGAGAGGGGAGCGATGGCAGCCATAGTAAATGAAGGCTTCCGCTTGGCCTCAACCACAGACCGCATATAAATATCCTAGTTGAAGCTGTGTCTTGCATTTTTCGGGCTAACAATATTGAAACGTTTTATTAAGCCCAGAGGCAGCAGCAGCAGCAGGAGTAGCAGCAGCAGGAGTAGCAGGAGTCTGAGCCAGACAGGAAGACGCGCGCGGCCACTTGGAACGGAACTCTTGATGCGAAATGGGAGATAAACCGTGTTTAGCTGCCCACGCATGCAGCCTAATCTGGAGCAAATTGACACCCGTTCGAGGCCCGTTCACACATATGCATTTCCACAAAACCCAGATGAAAGACGGAGCCGACCGCAAAAAGAACAGGACAGATCAAACTATATGGATATGTGCCAGTTCCAGCTAATTAGGCGAGTGGCTGAGCGTGCGAGTGAGGGAAGTCAGGCGCACACTCACCCACATGCTAGGCCAGCAGTTCCTCTGAATTACCTGTGCCATTGTTGTGCACTTGAATTACATAAAAATTGGCCAAAGCCAAACAATGCCGAAGAAATGACCAAATGGCCGGGCCGAACAAAGGAACTTGACCAAATATGCAAAAGTGTAGCCAAACAAACAACAGAAGAGAAGAAGAAGAAGAAGGCGAAGAAAAAAACAACAGCAAGTACAATGGAGAGAATCGCACTCTTTCCCTCCTGAGCGGCTTCTGTGCATATGAGTGGGCGTGGCACCACAACAACAATTGTAATCACACACCTTTTGTGCGTGTGTGAAGCGTGCTGAAAAGAAAATGCCCAAAAGAAAATGCTGACAAAGCAAAAATTTCGGTGAAAATTATATAGTTGAGACTCGAAAGATCCACAGAGAGAGAGCAGGAGAGAGAGGGAGAGGGAGAGAGATATCTTCACCGCTTCACATGTGTGTGTTTGGGTCCGAGGCCGTAAACAATTGAGAAATCAATTCGCATGCAAATGATGAGAGATGCTGTTGAGTGGCCATCCAGTGCCAGAAGCGCTGCTTATTGCACCCACATTTTCACTAGGCCCCCCCCCTTCTCGAGCGGCCCGCCCCCCAGCCTACGCCCCTGCCATGCAACTTGTTCAAAAATTTCATTAAAAACGGTTTTCATTGTTATTGTTGCTGTGTGCATCATAATGTGCGCGTAATAAAATAAAAAGTGCAACACGCAGACACCCCACACGCCCTACACACCCTACTCGGCACCCTACACCCCATGCCCCACTCTCGCTCCCCTGGGGCTCCTCTTGGCAAGCGGAAATGTAACACACAATTGGCACCCAAAAAGAAATGAACCAAAAAGAAACAGTTGCATAAAAGAGGGGGTTCGACAGGGCATGCACGACTAGCAGATACCCTGTATGTTATATTGAGCTGGATGATTAAACATGGAAATGCCAGGGAAACTAATTTCTCCAGAAACGTAGCCCTGGATGGCATAAATACCCTGTGCGAAGTTTTCTTGAGATGCGCGAGTTCTTAAATCAGTTTATGTATAAGAAAAAAGAAAATCGAATCCTTATAGTTTTTCTATAGAGCTTAGACAGCTCTCGTATATCTCCCTCTATTCTTTAGTAGCTTAGCCTAGAAATTACTGCACACTTCAATATATGATCTTACATAGAAACACACTATTTCATATACCCTCAACTTGTATGCATTTAGAGTACTTTCTCATACTCTATCTCTCCTACTCTATTATACCCCATACATATTCCGCTTTTACAGGTCATAATAAGAACTGGGCAAAAAATTTTTAATATACCATGCAAAATTGCATTCAATTGCGTCTGCCAGCGAATGTGTGTGTGTTGTGAGATACTCTATGTGTGTGTGTGTGTGTGTGTGTGTGTGTGAGTTTGCACAAGTGCTGTAAATTTCCTTATTTGCCCTGCCGAAAAGCCGCGCCCCAGCCCCGCCTCGCACTCGGAAAAACTTGCCCACAATTTAACTCAAACAAAAACGTTGCAGAAATGAAATTTGTTACATTTTTGTTGTTGTTTTTTGTTGTGTTTATTTATAAAAATTTTAAAAAATTTCTCAGCATGTGCAAATAAGTTGGCATTTTTATTCATTTATGCAGCCACACTCACACACACTCACACACACTCACACGCCGAGTGCGAGTGCAATTTCTCGTTAAATGTTCTTTATCTCTCTATCCTTTTTTTTTTTTTGGTTTTGTGTTTTTTGTTTGAGTTTTTGCGGCACGAACCACGAAAATGAAAACTAAATGCAATAAACGTTTGCGCCTAAAAGATGCAACAAAAAGTCAACGCTCAGCGATTAGCACATATGCCCGCTGCTCGCCGGGAGAGGGAGCGAGACGACGAGAGTGTGCGTGTGTGTGGTCGCCATTTTTTTGTTTCGGCGAGTTTAGCGTTCATTTAATCTTTGTCTGCTGCAGCTGCAGTTGCGGCTGTTGTTTTTGCTTTCGTTGTGTTGTCTGCTCGGCTCTGCTTCTTTTTCTCTTCTTTTTGGGGATTTTTTGCTTCGCTTTGTTCTGCATTTTGCAATTTTGCGTTGCCTACTTTTGTGCGTCGATTTTTGTTTTTTTTTTTTTGGGCCTGTGAATCGTAATGAAATTTTTTCGGGTTTTGGGCCCAAAAAAAATCAACAAAATAGGTAAAAGGAAAAAACAGTAGAATATAGAGTGGGAAATATAGTCGTGAAAATTGCCAGTGAATTGCAGAAAAAAAAAAAAAATCGAACAGTGAAAAACGCTGCGAAATTTCATTTCAATGCAATTTGGCTGTAATTGTTTGGAAAACGACGCTAGGTTTTTGATTAACAGAGGGAGCGCGAAAGAGGCGAGCTAGAGAGAGAGAGAGAGAGAGAGAGAAAGAGAGAGAGAGGTGACGACATGAGCTTAAACACACACAGAGACAACAGCTTCAGTATATATACATATATATGTATATGTAATGCATTGTAAATGGGCATCTAACTAAGAGAACAGCATTTGATATAGAAATTACTTAATTAGAAATGGAATAAAGTTGAGTAGGAAAAAAAATAGTTGAAGTAGACAACAAATAAGTCAGTATAAGGTAAATAAGACAACTAATATTATCATTATTATTGCACTAATTACATGTCTCCCAACTGTAATGGGATAAGCTCGAAAACTTGAATATACGAGTGGATAAAGTAATTCAGGCTAAGCCAGTCTAGCTGGAAAATGTTTCCCTAAACTTCTTTGTTTGTAGAGTTGACATCCATTTTCAGACATATCCAAGCTATTGGTAAAGCATTCATTACGTCTTAAAGTTAACAACTATAGAGAGTAGATATTAATATAACTTTTCTCATTCTACTCATTTGGCATGAGATGAAAGAGTGTTTTCCCCATAACTACATCTAAAACGCAACCAAAACCGAATTACCCTTATTCAAGCTATTCGACACTCCAAACCTATCCACAAATACCTCTTTCCCTCTCTCTCTCTCTATATATATATATAAATCTATATTCAGTCGAAAAGAATTGCAAAAAATAACATGACCGCAGGCAACACGTTAAGGGATGAGGCCAACGCCAAAGCCAATAGCTTTCATTTTTTAGCTAAGCCAAGCCGCCCCCGTAATCTGTCGTCTATATTGACACAACATGCCAATTTAGCTTGGCAGGTGGCGACCTTGTGGCTGCGGCTTTTGCGGGTGTCGCACAACTCAACCTCAGCAGGAGCAGGAGCACTGTCCGGAGGCGGGGGCGGCGCTGGGGTATATATTTAGCTGGGCACGCTGCCATATCAACTGACAAAATAATTAATTTTATTCCAGTTTTATTTTCTCCCAAGAGGAAGTTGACGACGGGCGTATACGACTGCGTAATACCTATTTGAGAAGGCCCATTAGGAGCCCTGAGGAAACTGAGATATATATGGAAAGCTTTCGTTATTAAATCAGATTCAGCTATAAGCGAATATAGACTCCAAATTCCAAGCCAATACACTCACTTTGCAGTATTTCAGTGCGCATTGAAAGAGAGCAAGAGAGAGAGACAGAGAGAGAGTCTGGGTAATTCATAGAACGTGTGGAAGTTTTTGGCATTTGCTTTGATAGGGACGCGCCACGCATACACAATTAAATGCGCCTTACGCAGTGTGCGAAAAAAAATAGCTAAAGAGGCAGCAGCAGCAGCAGCATAAAGAAAGCGCAAAGAGAGAAAGACAGAGAGAGTGGGAGAGAGAGAGAGAAAGTGTGTGTGTCTCGACACTTGGCTTAAGCGGGGCGTGTACGCAACACACGCCCACTTGGAAGTCGCAATTTCAGCTTAGTTGTAATTAGTTTTCGCCACAAGTTTTTTTCACTCCCCACTCCCCATCACCAACCCCTCTCTGCACCCTCGCCTGGCTAAAGTTTGCGCTCTTTTCTTTGCTCTTGAGTTTCTTTTGCCTTTTTTTTTTGCCTTTAGGTATTTTATTGAATTTTCTTTTCATTTGTTTGTTGATTTTTGGGATTTGCCGCATTTCGTATGCGCAGCGGATCAGGCGGGCAGCGGGCGGAAGCGAGACGGCAATAGAGACGGACAAACGTAACGAACGCAACTGAAGCAGCAGACAAATCCCTGCCTAAGTTGTTGTTGCTGTCGATGCTCTGCTTGGTCGCCTGTTTTTCCAATAAATTACTTTGTAATCAAGTGAATTCGAGTGCAAAAATAGGTGAAGAGCGCGCCCAGGGGGCGAGGCAGGTCGGAAATGTAGCAAGGACTCGATAAATGATGACTATAATTTGCAGCCAATATGCGTGCCATTAGAGCCTGCTTATTTGCCGAGTGGAAAGAAACCGCAGACGAGACACAAATGACGAAAATCACAATGCGAGTGATGGAAGATCGAAGTCGACTCAAGGAAATGAGGATATTAAATAATTTCCTTGATTTCGAGATGAGTTGACGGAGCTACAAATGAACTATAACTACAAACAAGTTAAGAGTAAATGAAGTGTCTCTGCATACCCTACATACTCGACAAACTGGCAATACTCTACATACTCTCCACATTCTACGTAGTCTTTATACTATTTAGATATATTTATACAAATCTACATACTCTACATACTCTACATAGTCTACATAGTCTACATAGTCTACATAGTCTACATAGTCTACATAGTCTACATACTCTACATACTCTACATAGTCTACATAGTCTACATAGTCTGCATAGTCTACATAGTCTACATACTCTACATACTCTACATACTCTACATACTCTACAACTCTACATACTCTACATAACAACTGTACCAAGGCAATGTCCTTTTATCTTTCACGTTCTTCCTTTACCTCTCCATCTCTCGTTGTTCCTGCTCCTTCTCTTGCTTGCTTTAAGCCTTTTAACTTAGCCAAGTCTTATGGCCAATATTTTATATCGCATGCATATGGCTAATACGCTTAACATAGCCAAGAAATCAACAATAAAAACATGTGCAAAATTTAGCAAACGGCTGTTACTGACTAAGCAATACCCTAGGGGTACCCCAAAACTTATTCTTAATAACTGTCAAACTGCGTATGAACTGCCTTGAATATATAGAGATGTTGGGCTGTTTAGTGTGGAAGAATGTGAGTGCTGTATATGCAGCTAATCTACCCCTTTCTCATATGACAAACAGGGCAGAAGAAGAGACTTTGCTTGGCTGCCAAGGCGACTCGCCGTAGAAGCAACAAAAAGGCAAACACGATGAACTTATTGAATGAAGAACTATATATATACATGTTATATCTCTATACCAGTATATATGTATATGACATCTATATGTATATGTGAGATATAATTGCTTGAATAAAAATTTCAATGGAAGACTGAAAGAGCTAAATGTCTGTCAGTGGCAGATGCGGGCGCAATGATAGAATTAAAATTGGACTGCAAGGATTGTAATTACGCTCGAATAATATAAAAAACAAGCACAAGGATATGCAGCATGCTGAGCCAGAAAGAGACAGAGACAGCGAGGGAGAGAGAGAGAGGGAGAGAGAGCAAAGTTTTGCCTCGTTTTTAATGAAATAAAATAAATGCAGCGCACAGAGTAGCTCAAGGAGCCAAAGCAGCGGGCGGCAGCAGAGGCAAGAGAAGAGCGGACAAGGGAAAGAGAAAGAGGAGGAGGAGTGGAAGGTGGGGGCAGCAGCAGCAGGTCGCCGGCTTCAGCCACAAGGACAAAAGGCAAAAGTTGACATTACGATTGTGTTTATGGCATTGTTTGTGAAACTGTGTGTGTGTGTGTGCTGTTGATATTATATTACATTTTATAAATTACATTTTGTGCACAGGCTAATGCACAACATAAAAAGCCAAACGCTTGATTTTTTTATTCCTTGCCTTCAGTTGCATGCAGCAAATACTTATGCGCTGTAAAACAAGCTGCAGATTGGATATATTAGTTGCGCGTTTGGATGGAGATAGGAAAATATATAATATATATATATAGTTAAGAACGGGCACAACAGAGATAGGGCACATATTGTATAGGATTTCGCTTATCTCTTGGTTTTATATTATCTCTTGGGGCAAGCAAAAAATTGGAGGACCATCAATAAATAGAGAAGAGTCAGATATTGCCGTGCCCTAATATGCCATATATCAAAGAAAATCCTTCTATCAACCTTAGCTTTCACATGCTCAATATCCTTCAGCACTCTCCGCGCCTCAAGTAGAGCATCGCTTAGTCGGCTACAGCCGCTGCGCACTCATTATTTTAGCTGCTGCTGTACATTAGCAAGTCCTTCGTCCTTCGCTCGAGTTTGACTTCAATTGCAGCAACGGAAATGCATTAAGAAATTCAACTTTGGCCCATGCAACAGTTGCACCAATCAAGCCACGCCCTCTCCCTCGCCCCCCGTCTTCTTTATGCCAAATGCTTTTAATAGGCACTTGCATAATACAAATACATATTTCCACATCTCCATAAGCCCCACCATCTACCTCCCGCCACCCGCCCCCTTCCTCTTAGCTAATGCGATGTCTAGCCAATATATCGATTCATATGTGACTTATTTATTTATATATATATATATGGATAAATAAATATTGTGGTACAGTGAACACTCACTGAAGTAAACGAATATTAAAAGAGAAATAAATATACTTTAAATGAGTGGTACAGTGGCGGCTCACTAGAGGGGAAACATTTGCGTATATCAAAGAGAAAAAATTGTTGATAAAATAAAAAAAATAGCAGAGTAGTAAAAAAATGTATTTATATGCTCTAACAGGATATTTTGTGCAAATCAAAAATTGCAAAAATATATAGGGAAATAGAGCAATGGATTAAATAATATGAAGACAATTTGCGAATAGATCAAAATAGTTGAGCATGTATGGACTTCACTGTATCCAGAGAGAATAAAATATAAATGTGGAAAGTGAATAGATCTTCTCATTACTAAAGTGTCCACTATATTTCTTATAGAAAGGAAAAAATGTTTACTAAGGGTAGTATTAATCCGCAGAACAGCATATAGGGGAAAGGATGGCATAGGAAGCCTCAGGCTTGTGTTTACTGTAACAGTGACAGAGAGAGAGAGAGAGAGAGAGAGAGAGAGAGAGAGAGAGGGGGGGGGGGGGGGGGGGGATATAGAGAGATGCAGAGTAACATCGTCGACGCCTAAAAGCGCGTCACATTCATACCAAATAGATTTTCACTCAAATTTTTCATGTTTTCCCTTCTTTTCTCTTTTGTTGTTGCTGTTGTTGTTGCAATTTTGTTATTGATATTTTTATGACAAATAATCCGCTTTCACAGCAATTGATGTCAGGTGAAATGAAAGTTAATACCCAACAACGCGTCCAATTTGATTGTGGCGCAGCTGATAAAAAGCGAACGCCCGAAACTTTTATGATTAAATATATGCATACAATATATATATGCATATATATATATGTATATACATATATGTATTTGATGTCGCTGTCATCGATGATAAGGCTAATGATCCCTTTGCCAATCATTATGATTGTATTACACATATTTGGCTTTAATAATAATATAAAAAGCAGCACTGCCGCCCCCCCACCAGCCTCTCCTGCCCTCCGCCCACGGGCATTTGGCCTTATCGCTCGACCTGTTTGATTTTGTATTAAATTAGTGTCGTATAAATGTTTTGTTGCTGTTGTTGCTGTTGTTGTTGTTGCTGTTGAGGCAACTGGCAGCAGTTCCCACGACTTATCACAACAACAGCAACAACAGCAACAACTACAGTTATTTACAACAATTTATTAAACAATTTTATGGTGTTATCGTTGCATTACGCATACGCCGCATGAGCCCAAGCATTGCCTCGCCCTCGACTCACTTGTAATGTAATTTCCGTTATGCATTTCCGTCCCCTCCTACCTCCCCCTGTAAATCTCTGTGAATTGTGCGTACATTTATTTATCGGCTGCAGTTTGGCAGCATGCGCGGCACTTCATTTCCGTTGCCGCAGCTCATTGCTGACATCATTGCTGCGGCTTAATGTGCAACGCGCATTGGCCGTGTTCCAGCTTGCGATTTCAATGGAGAAAAACAATTCTGCACGAATTGCGACAGAAATATCTGCAGGAGCAGAGGCTGAGCAGGTCAGGCAGGAGCAGAGATCTTCCTGCTTATAAAAGCAGCTCGAATGATAGCAATGAAGACAATAATGATGCCAATGATATAGGAGCTCAAGTCAGCAGAGGACACTAATGCAACTGATACTAGCTCTAATGCTGAACTAGAAGCAATGACAGTTCTGATCGATGCTAATCAATGCTAATCAATGCTAATAATGAATACTGATAATACCTAGAGCAATACTAATGCCAATACTTATATTGACAATGCAAATTGAAGCCCTGCACAAGCTTTTCTCCTAGTTCCATGCCCAAGAATCATAGTCTAACTCAACTCGTATATCACTAATGTATGTACATAGGTCTTACCTTATATCGGCTTACCGTTATGTGTGTCGATCTGCCTCAACTCGTTCTCCATTTGCGCAATCCTCGCAAAATGCATTGCAATTTATTTGTAGTCTACTTATTGGCGCTGACTATCTCGGCTATCCTCGGCATTGTCATTGCTTACACTGATGCCAGCTCGCTCCACTGCCTCTTCTGCCTCTGCTTCATCAGCCCCAGCCCCAGCCCCAGCCATAACGACTGGCTGACGAAATTGGCTTCAATTATGCGCCGCATTATGAAATTATGAAAGTAAGTAGCTGCAGTTGCCTTCGCATTCGCATTCGCATTCGCATTCGGATTCGCATTCGCTTTGGCCAAATGTAATTGCCGCAATTTGCAGTCGCAGTTGCAGTCGCTAATAACGTTTATTAAAACCATAACAACGTGGCCATCCACCCCTTCCTCTCCTCACCTCATCTCGTCTACCATTAACAATGAATGTGGCATATGTGGCATGTGTGGCATGTGTGGGATGTGGCATGCTGCATATGTGTTACGCTGGCAAATTATGCAAATCCTTGTGAAGCACATTAATGACAATTAATCGCTGCAAATTAAAATGATGACAATGCTCCACATATGCCACAAGGATTTACATACATACATATGTATATCCAGCCTCGCTCTCCCCACATCTCTTCTATCCCCTCCCCACTATCTTAACGCTAAATTATGAACTAAGCTGGATAGTTGATAAAGTGCTCGCCATTCAAGCGGCCCACGTCGCGTTCCCGCTGCTCCTGCCTGCGCTCCTCGTGCCGTCCATCGAGTCCCACGCCCAGGCGCTCTATAAACTTGGCCGAACGATATCCATTTTTCTGAAAGAGAGTTATACACTTAGTACTATGTGCTATATATAAATATATTTAGCTCACCTCGTAGTACAGCGTGCGCGCTTTTTTAGCCGCCTCTGGATCGAAATCCCAATCGGTTCGCACGTGAGTTATCGGCTCTCCAGCTACATTGTTCTGTAGAGTTTCGCTGATCAGCCGCAGGATGAAGCCGTCAGCTGTTCGAGAGCCCAAAACCAATAGAGAGCACTACAGGAAGAGAAGAGTAAAAGGAGTACATAAATATTTTATTTAATCTTCCTATGATCATTTATGTTTATGATTTCAAAGTTGTAGAAATTTAATCTAAACTAAACTTAGTTGTGGTCATTCCCTTCCCCTTCTTACACATTAATAATATTACTATTGATTCATGAATATAATTATGCCGCAACGATGACAACATTGACGCTGATTACGATTATTATACTCATTATAGTCATAATACTCATCATAAACATAATAAATACAATTAGCACTATTATTACCAAATGATCCGTAAGATTATGTTATGGTAAAAAGATCATTAATGATCAAAAAATGCATCGTCAATAAAAAAACTGAATATTATTAACATAATATTTATCAAAAGAGACATAATTTGAATATAGCAAGCGTTAAGCGTTAACGCTACATAAAACATATTTAAATTTGTTCGTTTTATAATTTACGGTAGCCAAAATATTAATAATATACATTATAATATATGTATATGTATTCATTAAATATAAGACAATATTTTTTATAAATATTTAATAAAAACAAGTTGGATTAACTAACAAAGTAGGTGGACTATCAATATATATTTAATAATAATTACGGACTTCAATCGACCGCGCCTGTCGAGAACTGCCAAGCGACTGATCAAGCTCTGCAGCTGGCGCCCCTTTAAATAGGTCGCACAGCCAATCATAACTGAGCTCGGCCGTTGAGTATTTATTCTGAGTGAGCTTCTGTGAGAGCATTTTAAGCTCTCTGGATAAGCACAGTGTATACTAGATTTCTATGTGGAGTGATAGTGAGTAGAAAAAGGGGAAAGAGACAGACATACATACAACAACATACAACATCAAAAAGGGTTTTCGCTTAATAGACTCGAGCATACTCTTTTTACACAATTTATTGAACTAAAATTGTAATTTTTTCATTATTATCTCAGTTTTTAGTTGAAGCTTCTGTTAAAACTTATTATTAACACATGTTAGCTCCTCAAACTGGAGTAATTGTATATAAATATTAAATACATCTTCGGATGACACAACTTAATGGCCATAAATCAGTTTTTCAATTTATTTAATTACATAAGCAGCCACTCAAGGTCATATTCGTTTTGATTAAATCAAATATTGCGCCACATTCAACTGTTTATGCACTCTCGATCCACTCTCAGTCCACTTGAGATCCACTCTAAACTTTCGATTTGAATAAAATTCGAGCCATAGCTTAAATATTTCGCACAAGCGTTTCTTACAGCTTTAACTTTTGCTTAGCAAAACGAAACGACTTTCACACTTACAGCCAACAAAAACAAATATCTCATTTGCAACATTTTCTATAATTTTGGTTTTTACTCGTGAGTAACTCGGTGCGCAGCCCGTGCGAGTCACTGGACCATTGATCACTAAATCCAAAAGCTCGGAAAAAAACCGCGAAGTTGCATAAAGCGCAGCCAAGCGCCAACGCAAATATCGCGTGAATAAAGAAACAAAAAAGCATCGACAAAACTTACGGTAAATAAAGTCATCTTGTTCGGCAAAGCAATACAAATGCCGATAACTTGCTGAAAGAGGTGCGAGCGAGATGAGGCGATGGCAGGTAAAGCGAGGGAGTCAAGACGCGGGAGGTAGAACGAGGCAGGGAGTCCGTAGGGAATGAGGTAGAGCAGAAGAATGCAGGAGCGAGCGAGACGGTAGCATGAATAAATATTCAATAAATGCGGTAAGAAGAAACAAAGCTTAACGATGATTACTTTTGTCTCAATTTATGAGCACAAAACACAATGCGACAAATTAAACGAATCCACTTGAAAAAGGTCAGCATCGAACTTTGGCTTTGTGTGTGACCTTGAGAAAATGACTTTAAGTACCCAAAAACAATTATTTTTATTATTATTAGTTCGTTTTTTTCATTTTGACTCATTTTAGTGTCATACCGAATTCGAGGCAGACGGAACTAAATAGCGGCCAAAGGTTAGTGCCACCTGCCATAAGAGCCCAAAGCAGCTTCAAAAGAGGAAAACAGAAAAATGGCACAGCAAGCTAAAGAGAGATGACGACAAACTGGTTGCACGAATTATCATTGCAGAAGTTACATAATGGACCATACCATCAACAACATCATCATCATCATCATCATGGAGATCATGATGGGAAACCAGCAAACCAGAAAAAAACTAAGACAACAACACTTCAGTAATTTGGCCTCAATTCCGTCAACGATTTTTTTTTTTGCGCTGCTTTAACAGCTGTGCCAAGCCACGCTCTTGCACGCTCTCCGCTCTCTCATTCTCCGACTCTTTCACTCTCCCACTCAGCCGCTCTTGCATTTAGCTACGTGCCTGGCTGCATGTCAACCTGTCAAATTTACCTATTAGTTACGCTTGCTGTAAAAGAGCTTTTTGCAAATTTCCGGCTTCTGCTGTCCAGGAAGCATCGCGCTGCTTTAACAGCTGCTCGCTCTCAGCACAGGACTTTCACTTTCATTGAGACGGCACACACACATTAGTATTGAGTAAACAACAGAAGATTTCATGGAGCTTTCCAAGCGGAGCTTTTGAAGCTCTTGCGCTTGCGCTCTGCGACGCGCGTCGTCTGCAACTGGAATTTAGTTACCAAACAAAACGCGTGCGGTCAACAACACAGCGGCGACAACGACTTAACCGTTAGCTTTGTAAAACGTGATCAAGCAATAAATACAGTGGAAACATTCGGATATATTTGCAGACAAACTTTTTTTTTCGGTTGCTGTAGCCATGGCAAATTTGAATACGCTGCTGCTGCCCGTAAGTATTTGACGGAGAGAGAGTGTGTATGGGCTGGCGATGTTGGCCCCATCAATTAACATGGCCAAAGACAAGCGCTGACACAATTTCCGCGCGAAAGTCGCACCAAAAAGAAAAGTGTCTGCACCTGCCAAGTAAATGTGACTGGAATGCACAATGAACTCAACTTGGTGTCGTTTGCTCCGCTCCCATTGGTCAGCGCGGCGACACATTTTGAATTGATGTCGGCGCCTAATTTGTAATCGCTGCACGACAGAAGCGGAAGACGAGAGCAAAAGAGAGACCTTGAAATGTGCTCATTGCCCAATTCTGCAAGTGATCGAAGCGGCCTTTCCACTCTCGCGCTCTCTCGCTCTTTCGCTCTCACACTCTCTCCGACAGGCAGCGCATTGACCAATTGCAAAGCTTACAAAATGTGTCATAATCTCAAAGCTCAGCCACTTGTTTTACTTTGGTTTCATTACTGTTGTTATTGTTGCATTGCATAATCATGGAAACAGTCGCTGTTGTTGTTTTGTTGTAATTGTTGTTGTTCCAACTCATGCAAGACTCGAGTCGAATTAGTTGTGCATTTATGTATTACATTTGATATGTGCCTGACACACTGAACTAATGAGCCGGCTACTTTTGCTTTATATTTATACCTATTATTAAAAGATTATATTATATTGTTATTAAAAACATTATGTTTTTCTTTTTCAGCTCATTTTCTTAATTGTCGCATTCGTCGCCAACACTTCCTATGCGACGGTGCAGCCGCGTGCACCGAATTTCCAGTATTTCGAAAGGTAAGGCATCTTTGTATAACAGTTTTTATGATCATGATCTATACAATATTTCTTAACACAGACCTAAATACCGTTATCCGTACTATGATGAAAATGGGCGAGGCAAACTATTGTATGGCTATGGCGGACCGGATCTATATCAGTACAAGACATACACACCGCTGGAAGGAATACATTAAGCAGCTCTAACTAAATTTAAAGCAAATATATATATATCTATTAATTGTAAATGTAGTTAAATAATTTATACAACCTAACTGAAATGCATTTTAAACAAAATAAATAAAAGAGCGCGCCTATTGGCGAAGATTTAAGTATAGATGACGCATTTAAGAACTTTTGAATTCCAAATGAGCACTAGATGGCGCTACTTCGTGTTTTTGTTGTGTTGTGAATGTCCACTTTTAATTGCGAATGGCAAGTTCTTAGTAGAGTAGAGGAAACAGCACAAACGTTTACCGTTTTGTCAAATTATATTCCATTTATTCACTTGAATTGCATTTATAAAACACAAAGCCAGTAAAATGTCACGCAAAGAAGCACTCTCACAGTTTATCAATCAAATACACGGCCGACCCGTTGCCGTTAAGCTGAATAATGGCGTTGATTATCGAGGTGGGCAGAAAATTGAATGCCGGCTTTTGGTTGAGAATTAAATGCTAACAAATATGCGAATGGTTTTACAGGTGTTTTGGCCTGCCTGGATGGCTATATGAACATAGCGCTGGACCAAACGGAGGAATACGTCAATGGACAGCTAAAGAACAAATATGGCGACGCTTTTATACGGGGCAACAACGTGCTCTACATATCCACACAGAAACGGCGCGTGTAGAAAATGAAATGAAAATGAATAAGACAAAACTTACGATTTATTTCATAAATAAATTAATAATTTACTCCTTCAAGTCTCAGATCGTGTTGCGCGGTATCGCGCCAAAGTGTCGCAGCTGACTCAAGGAGTAGCCCGCGCCAAGCGCCGCAATTAGATTTTCGCCTCGTCGCCCGAATTTTCGCTCGTAAACTGGCCGCCAGTTGCGGCCGAAGTGCGGATCGAAGGGTATTTCGCTTGGTTGCTGGAACGGCGAATTGCCGAAGAACAGTCGTTCGATGTAATCCAAGACGGCCTTCTTCTTCTGGAAGTGCACTATAATGGGATTCGCTTGGGCGCCATAGCGTGGATCTTGAGAGTCCAAGTTCTTGAAGTATTGAAAATTGACCAGATCCACATTGGAGAAGTCGAACCCCTCCAGGAGCGTCGCCTCCGTGCCCAGCAGCAGCAGCTGCAGCCACTGCAAGTGCAAGTGTTAATTAGCCGCAGCTACTATCATTTAGTTGACTAATTGCCCACTTACCACTAATCCGAATGTAATTAACACGTACTTCCACATATCGCTACCCTTTAAAGACGCAGCTCCTCTCGGTTGCCCACTCGAAATTCAACTGATTTGTGTAAATTTCGGCTAGCGCTTGTCCAGCATGTATTGTCCACCGATTTGCAATCCCTATACATATATATGTACATATGTATATCTGTTTTCCCCTCTTGTCTTTTGTCGTAATCAATGCCAAGTTACTCAATCGGACGCCCAGCCAAATGTAAAAGACAATACGTGGTCGCCCACCTCGACCAATTAATTGTCATGCGGGTCACATAGTTTGGCCCAAGCTCCCCCTTTACAGCTGCTCCACTGCTCCGTGATAACCTGTCCAAGCGTTAAGAGCAGACGAATCAAACAGCTTTTGATGACAATCAAATTGCATTCGCTCCAAATTTAACTTGTCCAAAGACATATGCTGTCAGACATGTATCGAGCCATCAAATACTATACCACGCCTACTTTCCCACCAGCCGCCTCTTTCAAGCCATAGCTCTTTTAACACGCATTTAAAGAGTTTGCATATAGCTTTGTTTATATTCCAGCATTGCTCCAGAGTCGATGCGAAAAAAGCAATACAGTAAAGCCTCTCTAAATTCGATAGTTAGTAAACGCAAGTTTAAGAAATTTCGATTAATGAAAATCTGGCAGCAGTTACGCCTTAGGCAGGTTTTACTGTAGCTCAACAAAAATATAGCAAGCTAGCTAAGCGTGTGTGTGAGTGTGTAGCTTAACTATTTAAAATATTTATAAATTATTTTATTCATATAAATTTTAATTATGCAAATTTCGTTAGCGCGATATTTAACTCAAAATTTGATTTTTTTTAAAATTAATATCGGACTTTTTTTTAAAACATATACCAACTATATATGAATGTGTGTGTGTGGCCTCACTATTTTCTGTATATTTTTTTTACTATTATTATATATAAAATCACATTCCTATTATTTATGTATTTATATTTTTTATATGATGCAAACTTTGATGGTATTTGCATGCTTCGCTTTTCAACTTAAATTTGTTTTTCCACTTAATGAACGCAAAATTAAAATTGTGTGTGTGGGGGGGCAAACGAAAACCAAGGCGTGGTAAGGAGATTGCTCTTAGTGTTTACTTGGACCAAGCGATCAATTGTTTCATATCTGGATCTGTGGAGTGTACAAGAAATAGTATTAGAATTAGTTGCAGTGCAATTTATAGGGTATTTGTGCTGCCTACCATCCTCTTCGTCGGTAACAACTGCCGCTGGGACTGCCTTTTTCTTTTCCTTGACTTTCTCGGGTAGATCTTCGGTTGGTGCTTCTGGCAACGTAGGCGTTGGCTCTGGTATGCCAATGATCTCCTTGTCAAAGTTCTCTTGCTCCAGTTCGTCCAGCTCCCGCTCCAGATCCTCATCATCCAGATCGGCGCCAAAGGCCACGGGATTGGATATAGCGTCGGATATCTCACGTGCCACATCCTGTTGCTCGGCAATATCATCCATCATATCGTGCACCTTGTCCACATCCCTAAAAGAGCAGAGGCAGGAGACGATTAATGAGTTTCCTCTTCAGCTTAGCTTAATCTCTTAACCAGAATCTACTTACATGTTCTGGTGCGCGGATTTCAACGCGTCTGCTGCGTTCTTCATGGTGGTCAACACCGCTGTATTTGTATTGGCGCTCTCCAGGGCCTCCCGCTGCATCTCAATGGTTGATAAGGTGCCATCGATTTGCTGAAGCTGTTTCTCCAGACGCTTCTTCTTTTTGAGTGCCTGCAGAGCGACTGGAAAAGAGGCAACAGATATTTGAATACAGCAATTGCAGATAAGGAACTTTATGTAAACAATATGAATCTTGCATATGATGACAAATTTTGCTGTTTGTTATTTTTGCCCAATTGTAAAAACAATTAATTAAATGTTTATATTACGTTCTTAAGGGTTTTTAGCATACAATAGCATCCGGCCAGTTAAGCAGCAAGAAAGGCAAGAAATACACATTTATTTATTGAATTCTTCATACTTCATGTTTGGCAAAGTGATCTGTTATTATTATTTTTTTTCAGTGTAAATTTCATATTTAAGGCAACAAAAACAAAAGCAAAAGTTAACAATAAATGAGTCATAGCTGTTGGCGCATGCCAGGTAAACTCAGCTGTGGCTTCTTTATTGATTAACACATACCTCTTTTATTTTTTGATGCGTTTTTGCGTGCTGTATTTAATTCCTCCTCGATTTTGGACTCGAGAAATTCTTGTTTTTTTATCAGCATATTTTCGGTCTCTCGCAGCTTTTGTATCGCCTCGCCTGTGGTGGGGGCGACCTCTTTTTTGCCACCAAACATTTTGCCAAAGAAACTCATCGTGTTCGCCTTTGCTTTTTAGCACAAATTGTGTATTTAATTATAATTAATTATTGTTTTCCCTATTGCGTTCTCCTTGCAGACTTTTGTCTGGTGTTTTTGTCTATGGGCGAGTGTGCGTCATCGTGTTATCGAAAAATTATTAGAAACATATGCAACCAGTACGAGACGATACCGATAGGCAAGATGCACCCGTGCTGATGTATGCCATCCCTGTGACAGTCCAGTCGATATTAGTGTGTTAGCCCTGGAAGAGCTGAAAACAGAGTTATTCTCTCAAATGCATTGAAAACAAAACACATTGAAAATAAATAACAAATGGCAAATCGCACTGTCAAAGAGGCGAAAAACGTGCACGGCACAAATCCGCAATACTTAATAGAGAAGATCATACGCTCCCGCATCTACGACTCGAAGTACTGGAAGGAACAATGCTTTGCACTGACCGCCGAGCTGCTGGTTGATAAGGCCATGGAGCTGCGCTTCATAGGCGGCGTCTATGGCGGAAATATAAAGCCAACGCAATTCCTATGCCTGACGCTGAAAATGCTGCAAATTCAGCCAGAGAAGGACATCGTCGTGGAGTTTATCAAGAACGAGGAGTTCAAGTACGTGCGCGCTTTGGGCGCCTTCTACTTGCGTCTCACAGGCGCCGCCATCGATTGCTATAAATATCTGGAGCCGCTCTACATTGATAATCGCAAGCTGCGTCGCCAGAATCGGGCTGGACAGTTCGAGATCGTCTATATGGATGAGTATATTGACGAGTTGCTGCGCAATGACCGCGTATGCGACATCATTTTGCCGAGGATACAGAAACGCTCCATATTGGAGGAGAATAACGAACTGGAGCCGAAAGTTTCGGTTCTGGACGAGGATCTGGATGATGAGGTGCCCAGCGAAGACGAGGCCAAAGACGCCGAAGAATTAGAAGATTCGAGTCGCCAGAAGAATAGCTCCTCTAGCTCAGTGCGACGTCCGCGTCGCGCACGCTCCAAATCAAAATCACGAGAACGGGATCGACGAGTTGCTCCTCCCAGCAGCAATGGTCGCTCTAGGGATTACTATGACGAGCTGGAAGAATATGATCGGCAGCGCAATCGAGTGCGGACCCGAGACACACAGAATCACAGCAGCAGCAACTACAATGACGACTACGATCGCCGCCAGTCGGGTCGAAATGAAAACCGAAGGGACGGGGAGCGGGACCGACGCGATCGAGATCGTGAACGAGACCGGGAGAGGGAACGTGAACGGGATCGGGAAAGGGAGCGTGATCGGGAGCGGCATGGTGACAGAGAGCGTGACCGGAACGGTGACAGAGATCGTGAGCGAGAGAGAGAGCGCGATCGTAGCAATCGTCACGAGCATCGGGAAAGAGACTCCCGCAATGATCGTGAGCGACGACGCTACTAAAACCGATGAATAATTTAATAACTTTTCATTATTTTGTATAAGAAAACAATAAAAGTTAAAAAAGCAGTTCAGACTCGGTTAAATATCAATCAAAAATTCAACTGGCTCGGAATTAATCAGTTTGATGGGAACGCGTCAGTGCGTTGACAAATGCAACTAGTGGGAACACTGTAATTTACTCAAAATGGCATGGTAAACAAGAACAGCTGTTGCTGCAATGGAAAGCTCAGACTTTAGAAAGTTTGCGAAGCGCTGAATGAGTTAATGAGAGACGGTAGAATAAATATTATTAAGTAGTATTGTGTGGAGTGCAAACGCAACTGGGCAGAAGTTCCGTTCCGCTAAATTACGCGCTCACACACACACATACACACGAATTGTGAACGTCGCAAATTATAAAGAGCGCGATTTGTGTCATTGCAGATAAACGAGTTTTGTTTTTGGTTTTTTGTTTTTAATTTGCTGAATAACAATTCAAAATGATTTGCTAGTTCCTTTGTCTAAACCAACAATTGAAACAGCTGGTGATACTTAACAATTTTAACAAATTTTAAAATTAAACATGAGCGTACGATCCGATCGAGAGCCTTTGGTAAACGAGGAGGCGCAAGAAGACGAGCAACTGCCACGCCTACTAGATGCTGCTCAGTCAAGCTCAGATATAGAGGCCCCTCCATTGCCACCAGGCAATGGTGGCACCAGCTCTAGCAAATGGTTCATATTAGAGCCCGCAGTGTTTCTGATATTCGTGGGTCGCAGCTTAATTGGTAAGGAAATCTGAATTTACTGCTAATCACAGAGTCTGTTACAGTCATACTTCATGGTATTATAATTTTAGGGGCGGTGCTGCAGAATCAGATACTGTACCAAACCTGCGTTACGATCATGCACTTCAACGAAACCCAATGTGAGCCGCTGCTGGGCGTCGATCGGGGCTCGCAGGAAACAAAAGTAAGTTTCCTGCGCTCAAGCTCAAGATGTTATCTCTTATAATATACATATATGCATATGGTATACTCTATATGTAAAGATAGCTGTCTAGCTAGTTGGATATTAACAATAAGCAGATGAAAGCAGAGAGAGCTTCGGCATATCAAACTTTATATGATATATGTGTATATATTTACGTATATATAATTACTATTTTGGTATTATAAGGGTTCAATGGAGCTATTTAGCATTGAAGTGATTAAAGATCTGTTGTTGATTCAGTTTCTATATCTATATATATGTAATGTGCACCAATTCTAATGCAATGTCATATAGTATATATAGCAAAGATCGGTTTTAAAATATTTTAATAGCTCTCAGGCATACTTAACTTTTTAACCTCTTTATTGGACTCTATCCATTTCTTTAAACTTATATGAAAGAGTATTCAGAATTTCCTTATTATTCTCACGCTCTCTCTCTCTTCCTCTCTCTTTCTCTCTGTTGTTTTTATATCAATTTAAAGCGTACTTGACATTTCTTATCGCTTAAGCTGTTATATTCCAATTTCCATTATGCTAACGACTTTGATTTATACGCATCGAGAAATCCAATCAGAAAGGAAAATAAAGTATTTGATGATCTATTGTTTGACTAGACAGATAACAATGAAAACCTCTATAGGCATACATACATACATACATACATATGTGTATATGTGGAAATATAGTTCAGCTCTTATCGGGGGCTTATGAGCGACGCCTTTAAACGGGCATGACTAATAGTTGCAGTGGTCGAAAATATTATCGATCGAGGAATACTTTGATCTGAATATACCCAGTGGCACGCGATGAGTCATTCGGGTGCTAGTCGAACAGCTGCTTGAAACCAATTGATTATGAGCACTTAAAATGTTTACTACCCAAATTGTTGTAGAAGCTGGAAACCCAGGTTCAAGGCTACTCGGCGGATATCACAATGGCCATATCGCTGTTGGAGAGCATAATGCCTGCGTTTGTCAGCCTCTTCATCGGGCCCTGGTCGGATAAGTTCGGCAGGCGGCCTATATTGCTAACGGTTTTCACGGGTAAGACGAATTTACTACGGCTACAGATAGTCATAATTTATATATAATTGCAGTTATAATTAAATTTCAATTAACAATAACAAAGTTATTCATTATTTATAATTAATTCAAATTTAAATTGATGATTTAATGAAATTCTAAATATTTCATATTATTTATATTATATGAATCAATATATTATACGTTCTATATTAGTCAGAAGCATGATTATTATTATAAGGAAATGTTTAATAATTTAGTGTTCATTCTATATATCTGTAATCTACAATATATATTCATTTATATATCCAAATTCTTTTCCCGCGTGCTTAGGCTACGTGATTGGCGGTGCCATCTTGATAGCCATATCGGAGGTGACAATGTTCCATAACATAAGTCCCTGGTGGTTCCTGCTCGCCTCGTTTCCGTCCGTTTTGAGCGGCGGCACTTGCGCCCTCATCACGGGCATTTACTGCTACATCTCCGACGTGGCCAAGGAGCAGAAACGCGCCTTTCGGTAAGACCCAGCTCACCTTCAGCAGCTCGAATCGACGTGGAACTGCGAGTGATTCGTGTTTATTTTCAGAATGGTGCTGAATGAGGCATCGCTGTGCGCCGGCATGATGATTGGCAATGTGGCCAGTGGCTACATTTATGCAGCCACCAATGCGGTGACGCTCTTCGGCATTGCGGCTGGCTTGATGCTCCTGGCGCTGCTCTATGTCTACTTCTTGGTGCCCGAGAGTTTGCCGGCCGAGGACATACAGCTGCATGGGGGATCGCGGGTGCGTGAATTCTTTCGCTTTGGCCTGGTCAAAGATCTGGTCAGAACTAGCCTGCTGCCGCGTGCCAACTTCGATCGCGCCTTCATCTGGCTGACCATGGTGGCGCTGACCATAACCATCTTCAACATGGAGGGCGAGAACACGGTCAACATAATGTTCCTGCGCGAGCAGTTCGACTGGACCATCAAGGACATCAGTCAGTTCAACGCGGCGCGCATCGTCATCCAGCTGATCGGCAGCGTCGCCGGCATGATACTGCTGCGGCGCGTCCTCAAGGTCTCCATCATCAGCGTGGCCATGCTCTCGCTGGCCGCCTGCGTGCTGGAGAGCACAGTGCGCGCCACGGCGAAGTATTCGTGGGAGATGTACCTGGGCATGACGCTCGGCATGATGCGCGGCGTCCTGGGGCCCATGTGCAGGGCGATACTATCGCACGTAGCTCCCGCCGCCGATGTGGGTGAGTCACCAAGGACTAGCTCTGCCCTGGTCAGCTCTGTAAATTGTCTTCTCCTAGGTAAAATCTTCGCTTTGACCACATCCATGGAAATGGTCTCGCCGCTGGCCGCTGCGCCGCTTTATACGTCCGTCTATAAGGCAACGGTGGCCTTCTATCCAGGCGCCTTTAATTTCATGAGCGTCGGCCTCTTCTTTCTCTGCTACATTCTAATGGCGTAAGTAGTACTGCGAGGGTAGGTCTAACAGTTGTCGACTCAATGGCAAATATTCATAAGAGCATTGCTTGCATGTTAAGCTCGAATTTTATGTTCGAATGCGAGGGTAGACAGAGTACTTGTCGACCAGTCCAACTATCTGTATTAATACATATGCAGAGATGTCTCTAAATCACCTTCTTCTTTCTATCGTTGCAGCATCATCTTTGGCATTCAGAAATCGATGAACAGTTCGAGCGTCTATAAGGTCATAGGCAGCTAACCAAAGATTACCTCAGCCCCGGCATAGCTCAATTCGCAATACCTTAACAAGCATGCAATTTACGTTTCTTGTGATGTCTAGACAGAATCGTTTTTACAAACATAATGCATATATATACATATATATCATGTTAACTGTATGATAGACCATTTTTATATCAGTATGAGAAGTATTAGAAATTCTTTCAATTTGTAAATGTGATTGTAACAGTAAATGCAATTTGTTTCAATTCGTAACTGCCCATAGGAACTGAACTGTATATAAAAAAGTATATATATATACAAAGTTTACATACACCAATTGTACAAAGAAAGACAGAGACCAAGCCAATTGTAAAATATTATCAAAACTTAAATTAAAAGTACACCAAATCTATATATTGTCTAAAGTTTTTACGCTCGATTGGCTGCTCGTTAGATTTATTGCTTATTGGAGTTAGGGGGCTTTCGCTTAGGCCTAGATCAGATCACAATTATTTATAAATAGGAAATAAAACTAAACTAAAGTAAAGTAGGATATATAGGCGAATCACATCGAAGGATCGTGCGCTCTCCTATTTCAGCACCTTGGCGTAGTACTGCTTATGCATAAGCTTGATGCGCAGCACACAGCTGTAGAATGATATAGAAGTGTACAAAATCATTAGCTTTGACATCAGTATTAGCATTAGCATTAGCAGCTTACCAGATGAATATAAATGACATCATATAGAAGCCGACGCTCATAAAGTTGAAGAGGCCTGGATAATAGTGAAGCGAGCGCTTGTAGACGAAGGTGTAAAGCGGCGCAGCGACTAAAATTAATAGTAGTTAATTATTAATTAATAATGGCCATGCTAATGAACAGCCGAATTGGGCAATGACTTACTAAAAGGTGCAAACGATTGCAAAACATTTTTGATTGAGAAAATTTTGCCTGCAAAACAGAAGGAAATGGAAACATATAAATGAAAGATAATATAGATATAGTATATAGGGCTAAAGCGTACCCAAGTCGGAGGAGGGTACTATGTTGGAGACAATGGTGCGACACATGGGTCCGCCAATAGAACGAAATACGCCCAGTATAACCGATAGGTACATGTGCCACGCCTGCGTCGAGCAGCCCCTCGCCAGATTCTTCAATATTTCCGAGGCAAACGAAAGCAGCGCCAAGGTCACCACAGAGAGACGGAAGATCTGTAAATACATAGAGGTGTCAATCGTAGTAGACAAACATATACAGATATGATATCAGTCTGGGATCACATTAAAGTCTCGAATATGACATATCGTATAAACGTATGTATATGTTATATTTATACCATTTGCTCACCTTGCGCAGTATCAGAAATCCAATAAGTGCTCCCACCATGGGCACCAGATGGCTGACCGTCTCGTAGAAGGTGTAGTCCCTGACAGACCAATGGAACTTCTCTCGCACGAACAGATACATCACCGTCATGACGCCATCTACAAAAGTGGAAATGCGCATCACAGATATCACATAAGCAAAAGGAAAAGTTGTGCCACCCTCCTGCCTTCAAGTCTGATCGAACTCACCAAAGACAAAGATGGACAGGCACATGGCCATTGTGACCAGCCAAATAATTGCCCGAGCATGATTTTCGCGTGGCTTCGTGCAGGTGCTAACCATATCGCGGATGTGTGAAAAACTGAATAGTCCGGTCTTCTTGCCATCGGCTTCGGGCTGCGGCTTGCTCTGGGCCTGTGCCTGGGCCTTCACCTTGGGCGGCAGCTGCTCCACATATTTGGCCAGCAGATCCTCGTCGAAGGTCATGTTGGGCGTGGCAGGCGTGGGCAGCTGATGACATTGCTGCTTCTGCTTGTCCTGTTCGGCATCGCAATCGGGATTCATGAATATGGGCGGACAATCAATGGCCACGCATTCCGGTTGCAAGTCAGATGCCGAAATGGGCATTTCCTTTTCTTTATTGGCGCCGACAGCGGTGGCCTCGTTCGCCATCTTGGCCTCATTTTCTTTCCGATAATTCAAGCTTTCCGGTACGAAAAATATGATGAAGAAGCAGCCCAATGTAGTGATGCAGCCGGATATGCCAATGGTCGTGGCCGCATTGGTGGCGGCATAAACGAAGCTGGACAAGAGCGAGCCACTGGTCAAGCCGATGAAGAACAGCGACTCCATGAAGATCATGCTGAGATAGCAGACAAAGCAAAAGATAATAGCCGAGAGGAGGTTAGATATAACTGTATCTACTACTAGAGGGTTCCACTTACCGATACGGCCGCGTTTTGGTGTCCGTTATGTCCGAGATGAAGCAGAGAGCTGCCACGGAGAAGACACAATTGCCGCCAAGCATGGAGTGCGGCACTGCGGCCACAATGTACCACCAAGGATTGATTTCATAGTAGGTGGACAGCTCACAGATGGCAGACGTAACCAGAAATGACAAAGCAAATCCTGCAAAAAACATAATTAACGATTAAACATTTGCTCAGCTGAACTCGACTTGTTCCTTGGTCGCCAACTGAACTGGCCACAGTCTATTTTATTCACTCACACTGGCACACAGCATGCCGAATTGAGCTTAGCTTAGTAAGGCTGCTGTCTCGCTCTCGCACAGGACAAAGCAAATTATGCTCATTTGCTTTGGCGTAACAAAGCAGAATGAAAGAAGAGAGAATGTTCAGCATGGGCGTCACAGCCATTTTCTGAAGGGGATGCATTTTTTCCAAGTCAAATGTATAAAATTTGATATAAAATAAAGCGACTCTTTATATTGCGAGAAATACTACTAACAGAACTGTGTTTTGAGCAAGTCAGAGCTCGAAGCCCTTGCTTTGCTTACGCCCATGGTTAAAAGAGAACACATATAACAGTTATGTAATAGCTGGCACTCTGACCAATCGCAGACACACAGGCAGACACACACATCATTTTCACTTACCAATCATGGACACGATGAGCAATGGCTTGCGTCCATAGTGATCCGACCAGGAGCCAATGAATAGGCCACAAAAAGCAGGCACAATGCTCTCGAGCAGCGTGCGCGAGAGAAATAGATTGGCCACATATGGCTGCAGTTCCGTTTCGATTGCCTGGAAAACAATGAATTAGTCGTTGTGCAATCACTAAATAAATAAGCTCAAATAGAAACCTTGATCTCGGCGCTGGCATTTTTATCATCCAGCAATTTGCAATCGCTTACATTGTAGCGAAAAATCACTGTGCAGGTCTGATAGATGATCTGATTTCTCATGATGGTATCTAAATGTTCATAGGTATTTAGTAACTTGTGTAACTGTAATTTGTAACTCGGCTTAATTTGGCACTTACTGGATAAGGTTATCGAAAAGAGCAGCATAAACACAACCGGTTCAATGTAGACCATATAAAAAATCCGATGCCATTGTATATCACGCAAGCGTTTTAGTGTCATAATCTGCGAGACTTTTTGGACCATTTCGACCACTTTTCTTTAAAGAAAAATACTTGACTCGAATTGCAGCCTGAGGTATGCGTAGTTATTCCTGAGAATGTCTTAAATTTCACTGGCACTTATAGGAAAAGTTCTTGGCTGGTCAACTTGTTGGCGACTGAATTTGAAATTGCACAAAATGATTATTTATTATATTTTTCAAAGGTACAGTTCAACGAATCTATTTGTTTGGAGGCCACTTTGAGACTCGCCTAGTTACATTATATGTTTATTAATTAGACTCTGGCGAATTTCAGCAATGACATATTGGCAATAAACAAAAAAAAAAAGGTTTAACAATGCGCACTTCACAGCTCAAATTTATATTACGTATACGACAGGTAAATACACACACACACAACAATGTTGACCTTATTTATGTTTGAGTTCCGTTAAGCTTAGTTTGGGATCTGAGAACTGTAGATGAGCTGGTCGCTGTACAGTCTCTAGGTTTCTCTAACCGGTCAAATGCGAGAACGCTGATCAATCACAAAAGATGAAGCCGAGCACAAATATTCCACAACACTTGTTCATCAAAAATCAAAGCTATTTCCCTCCATATGTACATCTCTCTATACACATGTAATTTAGTTATGTACTGCAATGGCTGTTGCTTCTCACAAGCATTCCATTCCCGACAAACTTGGTTGATATGGCCAGGTAGCTCGATATTGCAGCGACAACGATTCCTATTCGTTTAATTTCGATTTCGCCGACTGCCGGGCTTAAATAACTTTTTGCTGGCCCCCTCCCGGCGGCACCTGCTACAGGTTTGAGCACTCCTAGCCACACTTTCTGTTGTTTCTATGTCCGTCAGCTAGATGTGCTGTGAGAGTATATCGGCATTGTTGTTTCCAATGTAACGCAGTCAATCAAGCTCATAACAATGCGGTGTATATTCGTCAACGAACGAGCATGTCACAGTCGTTCATAGCCCCTACATCCATTTGTTTTCGTCGTGCAAATGAGAAGCACGAGCCACAGTCAAAGCCCGCAAGAGAGTCGTAAAAAAATGAAAACAAATTTCGTTAATCAAATAAATCTTATTTAAATCAGCAGAATCACAAAACACCTGTTGCTAGATACATACGACAGTTGTATGTGTTTTAATTTCCCAATATATGCAGTATTGATTATTTAGTTTTATAGAATGTAACTCAAATTTTATTCGTTCAGTTGAAGCTGTAAAGCAGCTGGAATTTATTGTCTTAAAACGCATTCAAAGCTCTAATTTAAAATTAGCAAACATAAATTAACGCTCAATTTAGCATCTGAGGTTTGTTTGTTTGTCTTTTTTATTTTTATAAAAATATACATACATATTTATAAAGGCACACAGACACATACATATACATATATGTATATCTATTATATATATATATATTAATTTATATATATATATAAGTGAATAGTCTGTCAACTGACTGACGCACACGCACATGTCTGGAAATTAACAGTGAATAGTTTCGATTCACATGGCGCTTCTATTAACCCATATCTAAACAAAGTGTAAATGCCAAAGGCATGTCAAAAATTATTGCAATAATATTTACATTATGTAAATAAATATTAATTGTGGTAAATAATAAAGGTAATTATAGTCAGGGCTTCTGACACCCCTTTGTTTAGGCTTCTATTTATCATGTAAGCCCTGAATGGAACTAAAATTAGTCTTTGTGTCTCTGTGGACTCACTTTTGTTTGATGATCGAAAGCTACTTATTTCATTTGGTTTTATAGATTTCGGTCGAGTATACACGCACCTACGACACCCTCATCACACTTCCTCTGCTTTGCCCACTGAATATCTAATGAGGGGTATATTAGAGTCGAGCACATACATCGGAACCTTTTTATTTGTTTTCTTTATGCTGGCTTATAAAACCCCCGCTCCATCCAACACTTCGCACATTCGGTGATTTTTGTATATGTAAATATTTTAATAGGGTTTTAAATATATGATTTTGATTTACATATATATTTGCTATATCCGCCGGATCGACCAATTTGTATAATTGATGTGCAAATTTGCCGAATGACTAGCAAATTTCATATCATTAATTTTGGTTTTAAATATCATTTAAAAATCGGTTCATAGTGTGCGGGATATTTGGATTTCTTTTGCCAGACGACGCTGAAAAAGAAAAGAAAAACAAATACAGTTTTTGTTAAAATTAGCATAGTAAATATTATATGCATAAATCTGTTCACTACGCACAGCAGCAAGATTATCGCCAGCCCAAACAGATTGGCGCTGATCAGGTTGAAGAAGCCGGGCGCAGTGCTCAGCGTGAGCGTATAGAAGATGATGTACAGCGTGGACGAGGCGAACGGCGAAAGCGTCTGCAGCACGCTCAACAGCGCAAAGACTTTGCCTGCAATGGAAATCGAAGAGAAAGAGATGCAAACAAATCGAAAGATACATATGTATCTTACAGATACATATATGTACTATTAGTTACAAAACAAAGATAAAAGCCAGCCCCAAGCACTATCTAGTTACATAAGAACCGTATCTTTCAGATACATATTCAGAATGTTTCTGAAAGATTGAAATGCCTTACAGAGATACGAACGTGTGAGAGATGCATACATATGCCATGTGTATCTGAAAGCTACAAATGTAGCTCAAAGATAAGAATTCAACTCAAAGATACAGATACAGCTCCAATATACAAGCAATAGAGCCACCTCACCACCTCACGCTTGAGTTACAAAAGCTTTGCACACAAACCTCGCTCATCGGCTGGCAAGAGATTCGTTATCATCGTGCGGCACATGGGATTCACCAGGGATTTGAAGAGGCCCAAGCCAATGGCCAGATAGATTTGCCAGTCAACAAAGGCAAAAGCTTTCATCAGACTGCTCGCCGTGTGACTCAGCAGCGAGATGAGTGCCAGCCACAAAACGGCTGATCCGCTGCACTGCAAGCCAGAGTAAGTAAGGTTAGCCAATGCACAGTTAGATGACAAATGGGAATCCCACCTGGCGCAGCAGCCATAGAAACAGAATGCCACCCGAGCCGGCCACAGCGGGCACCAGAATGCTCACCGACTCATAGCTGGTGAAGTCACGTACGCTCCAATGGAACCTGGCGCGCATGAACAGATAGAAGACAGAGTTGCTGCCATCTTAAAGTGAAAGAGAGAGGGAGAAAGAGAGAGAAGATATAGTTAGCAATACGAAATTTATAATAGATAACCCACTCACCCGACACAAAGGCTGTAAGCAGCAGCACACACATCAGCAGCACGAGTATGGAGCGATCCTGGAAGAGACGTCCCCTCGCACAGCTTTGCCACAAGTCCCGCACGACGAAGCCTTCGGTGAGCTGTCGCTGTGGCAAACTCTCGGGCAGCAGGGCGGCCATGAGGAACAGCGCAAACAATATCGATGCAGCCGAGATAACAAAGATAACGTAGGCATTGCTGGCCTCATAAACGTAGCCAGAGGCAAAGCTGCCCAGAAGCAGACCCACATAGATGCACAGCTCGTAGGCGATCATTCTATATAAGGGTGGGAGAGTTAAAGACGTCGTTGAGGCAGGTCAAGGCCTCTCTCTCACCTATACGATCTCATCTTGCCCGTGGAGACATCGCCTATAAAACAAACAGCAGCCACGGAGTAGGTGACGCTGTTGCCCAGCAGCGAGAGCGGAATGATGGTTATCACGTAGAGCCAAGGGCTAACCAGTCCATGGCGTTGCATAGACACATAAGCGATAGCAGCGGAAAGTATGTACTGTAGAGCATAGCCTGGAAACGAGATGGAGATGGAGATTGAACTGAGCTTTAAGCTGGTGGCTAGTAACTAGGTCCCACCCAAGTAGGAGGCCAACAGCAGAGGCTTGCGTCCATAGCGATCAGCCAAGGCGCCAATGAACAGACCACTGAAGGCGGGCACAATGCATTCGACGATCTTGATGGTTAGGAAAACTCGTGCTGCATAGGGCTGGACCTCAGCTTCGATGCGCTTTGTCTCATTCGTGGTATTTCGTGTGCCCAGCAGGCTGCAAACCGTTTCCGGGTAACCAAAGCCCGCCGTACAGCTCTGATAGATGATCTGAGTTTTCAGTATGGTAGCTAAAATCCAAGTTACGATTAGGTGAATCCAGTTTATAGGGCATGCAAGACTTACAGGAGAAATTATACGAGAAGAGCAAGATCAAGATCAGCGGCTCCAAAAGAAAAGTACTTGGCTGTGCGCATATCTGGGCAGCCCCTACCGGACTGGGCTCTGGATTTTGATCTGTATTGGGCTCGAGGCTCACAACTGGCACTACAGCATCCTGCTCTTCAAGGCTTGCCTCACTGATGCTGTTAGAACTATTCCTGCTCTCTGCATCACGGCTATGCCGCTGGGATTTGGCGAACAGGCTCTCCTGGGCGTGCGGTGCTTCGTCCATAATCAATTTGCAACTGAGACGCATGCAAAATTGCTTGAGTTGCTCATTTCAATTGAGTTAAAAGTTGCGTTGCTTTCAGATAAAGAGCCGACATTCTGTATGCTTGTATGCGTGGGGGTTTCCATTAGGACGACAGCAATGCTTATATTCGCATTCATACTCATACATATGTGTGCCGGCATACACTTGTTTATCGTCTTTTGATCCAATTGATGACTCAGCAGCGAACTCAAACGTCCAAGCTACGATTTTACTGCTGAACGTGCCTTATCTTAAGCTAACAACTAACTTTAATTAAGCCCTTTTAACAAACAAGTTGCCCTGCAAGCCGTTCATTATATTTATCAGGTTCTTAATTAAATTCAAATAAGATTTCTACAAGAATGCTGATTAACCTAGGTTTTTAATGACATTTTTCCCTTTTTTGAATATTTGCGGGCTAATCCGTCATTTTTCCAAGCCAGCCAATATAAATACCAAATGGCAATTTGCTAAAAAACCCAGCTTTCAAAAAAGCAAACATAATAAGATAAAATACCAAATTTCGATAATCGTACAAGCTATCGACTTTGAATTGATAAATCCAAAAGAAGCCTCCAAATGGAAGACCACGGAGATTTGCAGTCCTTGCTTTTGGCAACCAAAACAGGAAAAGAAATATCTGAATATCACATTAAATTGTTGCAAAAACAAAATATTCGCACGGTGGAAGAGTTCGTGAATGCAAATAAGCTGCACACGAAGCTCGCACTGAGCAACGATAAGATGGAGGAAATTAAGCGGGAGCTCTTGGATTTGTGTGTGCGCAGGATTAAGTTTAAAAAAATCTATCAATGTGAACCCGTAAGCTACTCCACAGGCATAGAAGAGTCAGTGTATGAATACAGTTCTCTTGCTTCGAGGGTATACATAATATATTTTGCAGATTGGATAACCTTTTGGATGCCATTGGCCAGCCTTTGCGGCCTGGTCGTGTTTGGGAGCTCGTTGGGGAAAATGATGTGGGAAAAACAGAACTGCTGCACACGCTGGCTGTGAATTTCGTTTGTAAACAGGATGACAATCAGCAGGTGCTGTTTATGGACACGAATTTGGACTTTGATAGCGAACGTTTAGACGAGATCCTACGGAAGAAGAAGCTAACTGACGAAGCTATAGATAACTATTTAGATAGGATTTGTGTGGTTAAGGCATGCATGGCAGAAGCTTTGTTGTCAGCTCTTCAAGATCTGCTGGGGAGGCTAAAAAGTTCTAAAGGAAGCTCTGAGAGAGTCTCGGACATAAAGCTGATCCTCATAGATTCTCTGTCAGCTTGCTATATTCTATATCGCAGCAGCTATGACCTAAATAAGGGACGCAGCTTTCTGACAGAGCTGACCGTGGTCATACGCAAGCTAGCTGTGGAACATGGCATAGCTTTTATCATTGGCAATACGACGTTTAGTTTGGATGAAGAATGTGAGCGAAATGGTTTATGCTTAGTTTTATATATATGTACATATGTTATCTTAATATACAGCAGCTGCAGATGGTGATGAGGAGGAGTTGAGCCACACAGAAGCTGTGAATCCAGAGGATTGCAACTACTTGGGGGACTACTGGAGCTCCGTTTGTACACTCATCTTGTCGCTGGAGCTGCCAGAGGATTCTATACAGGAGAATAATCTGCGTGTGCTTAAAGTGCTTAGCAATAGTTGTGGCATCGGCGAGGGCAGCTGTTGGTTGCGCCTGACGGATGCTGGCATCATTTGAACTCTATTTAACGTCTAGCGCCTGCTCCCAGTTGCTGTTGTTGGTACGATTTCATCACCCTTTTGCCCGGTTCTATGCCATCGCTTAAACCAGGTCGTTTCCTCTTATTGCCAGCAGCGCTTTTGTTGACTGCTGGTGCTGCTGCTTCCACCTTGGGCTCATTTTCAGCAGCCACAGCCTCAACAGAGAGATCCGAGTCGTGCGCGTATTGACAGCTTGTGCCGAAGCGACAGCGTCCTTTTCTATAATTCCAACAAATTTTTCGTCCATTTTTCAGCTTCAAATGTGCATCATTATTGACCATTTTCACGTGTCTTTCCAGTGAAGCGGTCTTGTTCAGCTCTGCCTCCAGAAATGGATTACTAAATACATCGCCGGTTCGTTTTGCAGCCGCATTATCCAGAGCATCGCTAGCACTGGGCAGTTTTAAAGGTTTATGTGTATCAGGCGGGCTGAAATTAATACTTTTATAAATACTAATAGTAAATATATAAATACTGTTTTTCCAACCTTTGCTTTTTACTTGTTTCCTCTTTTTCGGAGTCACTGCTGCTGCTTTCCACATCGGATTCGGATGAATCGCTATAATCAGCGACAAGCGACATTGTTTACGTTTTCAACAATAGACAGTGTGACCGCGCTGCACAGGCGCTAAAAAATGCCAACGTGCACTGTTTATAAAAATACTAACTGAAATATACCGCATGTAAATACAATTATGGAAATATTGTGTATAACGGAAAATACCAAATAACTTAAAAAAACATTGCTTATTTGAACAACTTATATTCTGAACATTTCATTCATTTGTAATGAGTCTGCTTTATTTCATAATACATATGTATAATCACTTTATGCATGCTTTAGTTAAGGTGTATATGTATGTATATATGTGTGTGTATATATGTATATGTACGTGTGTAATGTGTAATTAGCTAGTTACTATTTATACAATTTATATAAATATAAAAAATTAAACGTTTCATAGACTTTGTTACAGATTTGTTAATATGTTATGTTATGGTTTGTTTTGTTTTGTTTTGTTTCGTTCCGATTGATTGCTGACAGCAACATCTCACTGCTGTGTGTAAAAAACTTTTAATACAATAAAGGAAATCAGTTGAAATCTCCCCGCCGATGAGGGAAACTCTCTGCACCACTCATAAGTTTTGTTTGGCTTTCGCGTGGCTGATGAGGCAGATGAGAAGACGCTAATCAATTTGTTGACGCGCCGACGGATCATCGCGATCAATGGGCGGCGGCGAGGTAAGCACTTCAACGTTTTGCGCTGGTCCGGCGGTTAAATAGCCAGCCGTTGGATTGATGCCTGAAGGCGAAGAATATGTTAGTCATGGCTTAATAGATATACTGCTGATCTCTAATGCATTACCCGTTAAGTAGCCACGTATGTTGGTGTCTGTGATGAAGAGATCATGTCGCTGATCCTTGAACTCCGCCCAGACAGGATGCTTGAGCAGGATTTGCGTGACACGATCGCCGTAATTGAGATTGTGGGTCATGCCCTTGAGCGCAGCGACAATTTGTGCCTTGACCGCGGATGCATTGTCCACAAATTCCAAACGACTGTCCAAGAGGCCCAACAGAAAAGGTATGAGACCTACCTCCAGGGACTGACTAATCAGAGAGTCCTAAAAACAGAACAAGTCAATGCTTTAGTCAGATATTCTCTCCCTGGTCAACCATCCACCTACATGCTGATGCTTGAAGAGTCGACTCATCGCCTCGCAGGACTTCTCAATGCAATCCCTATTATGTTCCATGCAACGCTTTAGCGGCGCAATGCATTCCGTTTGCGATATGGCGCTCACGCAGAACTGTGGAAGCAGAAGGGAATTAATTTGGTGGGATTAACCAGTAAGTCCGAGTGGGAACCCACCTCCGATAGCGACAGCTGATGTAATACTGATAGCGTGTTCTTTGGCTGCACGGAGAGCAGATTAAACAGCTTCGGTATGTGTCCCAGCACGGGAATTTCGTCCGCTAGATTAGGCTGCGACCGTAGTAGCTCCACAAGTGCCGTCGTGGACAAGTCCAATACGTCCTGTTCCGTCGAGCTCTTGCTGATTTGTTCCACAACATAATCCAAGAGATCGGACAGAAACTGTTTGGGTTTGCGCAGCGTCCAGGCCGGATTGCTGACGAACAGGCGCAAATAAACGCCGGCAACAACTATTTCGTTCGACATCAGATCCTTCAGCATTTCCGGATCCTTCCACAAGTACCGCGGATTTGTCTTCTGCTGCTGGTAGAATCGCTTGCAGGTCTCTGCCACGGCCTCACAGACACTCGAGCGCGTATCGTCGTTCCAAATCAACTCCGGGTGCTCGTGTATGGACTCGAACAGCTGCACAGAGGTCGCCGCGGACTCGATCATGGCATCGATAAACAGCCCGGGTAAGAATTTGGATATGGTAATCCGCACCTTGGGCCCACTCAGGCGGTCCGCTGTCATTTTGGCTAAGATCTCGGCGCACATTTCGCGTATCTGCGGATTGCGCGAATTGCAGAACATGTCCAGCAAGTAGATGACGGCGCCTTTCGTCTGCGCCTCTTTGATCATCTCCTGGACGTTCATCAGGCCAGAGAGCGTCTCGAGCACTTTCACCTGGCTGGCCCGCAGCTCGGGATCCCTGAGTGCAACCAAATAGTTGCCCAGTATCTCGCAGGCAGCTACTTCCGAGACGCACTCCTTGTTCCGGGAAACCAGAGCAACGACCTCCAAAGCCACAGCCTTTACACTGGAACTCTGCAAGGGTATCAAAAAGCGAGATCAGCTACAGCAATGGCAATGCAAGGGATGCCTCATTTGGCACTTACATCTGCGAATATATTGTTGGCCAGGAAACCAAATATCATATCGAAATTGCCAATGCACTGGATCTCCACCTCGGCATTCGCCTTGATCACGGCAATCAGGGCTCGCAGCACCATCGTGATGTGCAGCTCCAGCTGCGAGTCGTTGGCGTAGTCGTATTGGGCCTGCTGCAGCGACAGCTGCCGCTCCACCTGTGCATCCGTTTCCAGCTTCTTGCGACTCTTCGAGCGATTGTAGGCAGTCAGCACCTCGTCGAAGGTGCTAGCAGTCTTGGCCTCCAGTTGCTGCTGCTGCTGCTGTTGGAGCTGCGGATGATTGGGTGCCAAGGTGGGCGTTAGGATGCCATCGCTGCCCATCCTGGGTCCTGCTGGTGGTGCTGCGGCTGGTGGCGGCAGCTGCTTGAACTGGAGATATTGATAGGCATACTTTAAGTACTCCAGCAGATCCATAATGAACTGCTTGGGCTGGGCAATCGGATACGTGGGCATGTCGTTGTAGATTCTGATGAAGATGCCTCCAATCTGCAGCTCATCCCTGAAATAAATGAAGTATTATGGATATATAGATTATAGTGAAGCCCAGGCCACTCACTTGTGCGCATCGAATTCGAAGCTGGAGACCAGCTCGTAGACCTGAGCAATGTCCTCGTGCGTCTCCTTGGCCGAGGCCAGGCGCTGCTGTTCAAGAAAGTCCTTGAGCTGAGCGCGCGTTGCATTATCCCAGATAAGATAGGGGTTACGGGTGTTGGCCGTCAGCAGCTTGAGCACCTCGCTGTCCCTGGCCGTCGCCAGCTGGTTGGCAATGTAGCGCGTGAGCAGCCGCTCCAGCACCTGGCGAATCAACATATTCTTCGCCTCGCCGGAGACAATGTACTTCTGCTGAATGGAGTTGGGCTGTCGCTGCTGCTGCTGCTGCTGCTGCTCGCTATCTGTGGAGCTGTTTGTGTCGCTGCTGACACTCGAGTCCTGCTTGGTGAGCGCCGGCGACTCCTTCTCCTTCTCCTTGCCCGCCGTAATGGCCAGCTGCTTGCTCTGCAAGGGATTGTGTGCGTTCTGCATGTAGGCCGAGTTGGTGCTGGAGGCCGAGGGCTTTGGCTTGATGGCGGGCACTGCCGGCTTGGCCGCCGGATTGGCCGGCGAGCTGGACTCGCTGCCAGTGATTGGCTTGTTGCGCAACTCCATGGAGTAGCCGGCCAGAGCTATGCAGCCCAGCACAGCCATTTTGGCTAGGTTATTGGCCAACTGCTGCTGATTGCTCTTGTCGCTCACCTCGACCCCGCTCTCGTCCAGCGTGTAGTCGTACTCGAACATGAAGAGCAGCAGCGACCAGAGCACGCCGTTGCGCGCCAGATTGCACTGCAGGTCGTAGTTGTTGGCCGCCAGGCTGGTCACCAGGCTCACCGAGAGCGTGTGCTTGAAGTAGACCACGCGACAGACATCGGACAGCAGCTGGGGCAGCTGTATGATCTTCTGCTTGCACTTCTCAAAGTTGCAGGCGACCTCGAAGCAGCGCGTCACGTTCGATATGACCTGGTAGTGCAGCGAGTCCGGCTTCGAGTCGGCGCCCAGAATAGAGACGCAGCGCGTGTAGGCCTCTAGCAGCGCCTCGATGCCCTCCTCGCGGCGCAGCTCCTCGGCATTGAGGGCCGAGCAGTGCACCGTGTGATAGCAGAGCTCCGAGGCGGCTGTCAAGAGCTGCGCCTCCTTGGAGAACAGCTCGTCGTCGCGGGTCTCCAAGCGTATGGTCTTGATCAGCTGTGGATAGCCGGCGTACTTGTAGGGACGCAGTACTGCAAGCAAACAGGAAATTAGATAAGGCAGAGATTGGGATAGAACAGATGGAACTGACCGTCGGGGTAGCGCTCGAAGAGAATGCTCTGGGTGCGCAGTATGAGCACTATATTGTTGGGGTCCGGGCCTCCCGAGCTCCACACGGAGCGCGAGCACAAGAACTCATAGGCCTGATTGACCTTCTCGAAGATCTCGCGCCCATTGGGATTTTTGTCGGGGTGATACATCTGGGCCAGCTTGTAGTAGCTCTTGCGTATCAGGGACTCATCTGGCTTGGGCACCTTGTTCAGGTCGATGCCCAGATCCTGGTAGGCCTGCTGTATGGTCATCTGTGGCGGCTTCTTCTCCACCTCCTTGCGCCAGGCATCGAGCGTGTGCTTGAGCAGCTGCACTGGATCCGCGATGGGCCAGTTGGGAAACTTCTGAGTGTCGCACAGGTGGCGCAGGTAGTAAATGTGACAGAAGAGCTCGTTCTCCAGCTGCGGATAGCTGATGACGGGTATGGCCAGGTAGGGATAGCGGGCCATCGTATGGCCACGCAGACGCGGCGTAAAGTCGGCTATGTGTGCGGCAATCTTCTCGATGAGCAGCCGGCGCATCTCCGAGCTCCAGATGACCTCGGGCGTGTCGAACTCTCCGAGAAATATCTCAGCGAACTTCTCGGCGCTGTAGTTCTCGAGGAAACAGACCATCGCCTCCGGCAGCAGCTGGCCGAGAATGCTGCGGTGCATGATGCCCGACTGAGAGGTCTAAAAAGGAGAACAGAGTTTAGTCAGAGCCTGCAGTTGCCCCATCCCGACTCACCTCCTCGCTGCGAAAGCCCTGCTTCATGTGTGTCATCTTCAGGAATCGCGTTATGGGCAAGATGTTGCTGCCCGTGTACATGAGCATAAAGTAGAAGACGCCGGTCATGTACACCTTCGGCATCTCCGGGTTGTCCTCCATGATCTGGCAGAGCAGCGTGGCCACGCGCTCCAGCAGGCCTGGGTCATGGGTCAGGCACACCTGCACCACGTG